TCAGTCTGAACTGATGGATTATAAAAAGGTGTCTCATTACCAAGGTGTCATACAAGAAACATCACATGATGGGTAAAAGCAAAGAGCTCTCTCAAGACCTTTGCAACCTTATTGTTGCAAAACATACTGGAACATGCAGTAATATGTAACGTGTATTGCAAGCAACTTTTACTTAACTTTTACTAAAACTTTATTTATATCACATAGGGGATAAAAAAATAGGAGATAAAAAGGCTTCTATGTGATATAATTCTTTTAGGACAGATTCTCCTCAGACTTTTAGGTAAATGATGTCTCACTTACCTTCCACTGAAGCTAATAGAGCACGGATCTCGTCCTTTAACTTCTTCCCTGGCCCTTGTGGTTACTAGAAACATTAAGTGATGTTTTAAATGTTGCCAATGGGTTTATTCTAGCTAGAGGAGATCGGCAAACGGATGTTCACTGGTCCCTCCTCTCTACCAGGCAATTCTGAATTGCCTCATAGTGTTAATTTAAGCTCTGTACATTTTGTCCCTACAAATGCTTTAGAATGATTCCCAAGATCCCCATCTGCATCCATTTCTTTAATGCCTGTGTCTACAATTCATCCTGCGCTCTCAGTATCGACCTTTTTTGTTACACATTCAGATGCACTGAGAACATAGAGTGTGAAGAATGACAAGTGATGAACCTGAGCTAAAGCGCACATCCTCAAAAACCAATTAGGGTGAATTTCCACAGCAGCAAGAGCTGCCGGTGTGCTATACTGCTCCAGAGCTCACCGTTGCCGGCTGCGGTAGGGAGCAGTGTCGTGCACATGGCTCCCCCCCCCCCCCCCCCTTTTTTTTCATTCTGTATATATCTTATGTGAAGTCTACTAAACGTACACTTAATTCATGACAGTGTATGGCCGCTCGATGCGCTGCCGTACATTGCCATGAGATTCTTCGCAGTGCGCTGTGTTAAAAACAGCATGTCTACATTTTATCGCAGTTCAGCCATAGGATGCCTTGCAGTGTGAATGGTACCCATAGGAAAACAATTAGAAACAATTGTTTCCTGTGTGTCCCTACCATGACAGACCTTTACAATGCAGTAAAACATCTGTCGCAAAAATAAGTGTGAATTAGCCCTTAGACAAGCATGTTCCTCCCTGCTAGTCACCGAATGGTGTGGACATTAGCTGTGCTAATCAGTTGCTTGATTACTGTTCCAGAAGCAGGTGTGAGAATGTAATTGAGCAATGATGGCAAGATTGTATAGCTAAAATCCGTAATATGCATTTTTTCCACCTTCCTCTGTGGAACATGCATGTCTAAAGGGTGCATGGGGATGTGTTTTTTTCACTTTTGCGTTTGGTAGGAAGTTGTATCACTCCCCTTGCTTGCTGTTAATTAAGGGCAAAAAAAAAACTACCAGAGCTACAGAGATGAGCTGAGTATATGCACACAAGCTAGAAAAAATATTTAAACAATGCTAATACAATGCTTTGTGTCAGTGATTAATTATTAATTAAAGAAGTACTAAAGTCACATTATTTACATTACTTTTTTACAGAAGACTGAGGCTGCTCCTAGACATGCAGCTACCTGTCTGAGAGCAAAAGAATGGACAGATATCTACGTCTTCTAATTTGTTTTTGGGACTCTAGAATCTGCCTAGATGACCGGTTGTGGGGAAAGAGGAATACATCTTGGTCTTTGACTGTTCCTTCATCTCAATAGAAGAATAATTGTATATAAAAGTTCTATGCCCTCTGTATGCAGTATTGAACACCACTCTCTTCCAAAGGCACTTGCTAGTGGCCCCTAGGGAGCTCTGAAGTGCCATGTTACAGTGGCCACATCTGAGGCTTCATTCATGATCCATTAATGGGCATCTAACAAAGAAGGAAAGTGAACCTGAAATCCTGGCAGGAAAGGCTGGGATCTCTCTTTTATGGTAATGAAACTCATCAAAAGCTTCAGCATAGTCACAGCCTACATCTTTCATCACAGGGCCAGATCATCTATTGTCCCTTCCCTGTCCCATATATTACAGCTAATGAAAGTTCAGAAGACAGTACAGCCGTCCGACAGGTTCCACAAGTCTTGTGACACCTTATTTATTTGGGCTGTGTAGTGAAACACCCATTGAAACTTGTCCTTGACATTGCTTTTCTTGTTTTTCCATGGAAACAGATAACTGATTGCAAATCGCTGGTCAGGTATTGGCAGTTGCCTAATCAATCAATGGCATTAGTAAAGGGTTTGGTACATAAAGTGGAACAAAGGTTCTGCTGTAATAAACCGTAGTCAGGCAGGCTTTTATTATAGAAGAGACATGCAACGTCTCTTCTGCAAAAAACAATGCACCTACCTGCCTGCTCACTGCTTCTACAGCCTTGTAAACCGAGCTGTGCATGCACAGGTCAACTTAAAGTGCCGGGACTGTCCGTGTGCCAAAATGATGGCCTCCTGTGCATGTGCAGGGGTGACGTCATCCCGCACCAGCCAATGAAGATGGCCGAAGACCAGCACACAGGAGAAAATTCCGGCGAGAGATGGGAACCATTGAGTGAAAGGTACGTATTGATCCCTTTTTAGTTCTGCATTAACATTTAAAGCCCAACTTCTGGTAATTTGAAAATTATCCCTTGCAGTAGAGCTGCGCCTGCACTGCAAGGGTTAACTGCTTGTTAAGGCCTAGGTTGCATGGCAAGGTAGATTTACTAACCCAGTCCTCCACTCATCTGTGCTGCTAGACTGGTTGCCACAGCTTCTTCTACCCTACACTCCAGCAGTCCAAGGTCCTGACAGCATCATGGGTCTGTAGCTCTGCAATGGACACCAGAAAGCTGAGGGGCAGATCACTGCTGGAGCACGGGGGAGCACTGTCTGCAGGAGGAGCAAAGGATCAGGTAAGTAAAAGTGCTCTTAGGCCAGCTATACATGGGTCGAATTTTGACTGATTTTTCATCCAAAAATTGGACCTAAGAATAATCGGCCAATTTTCGTTCTGTTAGTGGGTCAATGGCACCGGCTGATTTTCCTCCCCTTTTCGGTGATCGGGCATGTTGGAAAATTTGTGAAAAACAACCGATTTTCGACTCAATGATGGTCAAATCGTACGATCGCTTTTCCGAAAAGAATATGTGCATGAGCCGTGACCTGGAAGGAACAGAAGTTTCGCCTGTTATATGGGGTGAACTTTATGACTTGGTTGGCCGATTTTCAAAATCATTGATGGCACCATCGGACTACCGAGCAAACAACGTTTTCGATTTTTGGACAAAAAATAGTTCTCAATTCAAACCACGTATGGCCTGCATTAGCCTTTTTACTTGCAAACACTTGTGATTGTTTACTCATCTGGGTTGTTGCAAATGGTGGAGCCATCTAAAGCATTGCTTGTAATGAGAAGAGTACTATTGGTTGCTAGGGTTCACTAGATGGTGATAAGGTGAGACTCTCGAGGTCTGGGGTGCTCTTTGGTGGAGCAGATATGTTTTATTACTTTGGGAGATTTCTGCACCTGATAGAAGCCTGTCATTTCTTTTTATGTGGAGGAATTACTATTTTTCTGTATCTCAATGTCTACAGATTTAGTGGAAAGACAGAGACAACCTCTCTCCTATGTTAGAGGGGTCTAAGGCTTACCTTCTTTTGGCAAGTCAATACCATCAGTCTGTAGTCACCTACTGTATGGTTAATAAATGCTGATTTAAAGTGGTTGTAAACTCTTACATATACCCAGTGAAGTGACTGGCCTCAGGTAATACACAGATTAAACAAATCCCCCTCCATAAGTTGTACCTTTTCTTCTGCAGTAATTTGTCCTGTACATACTTGTAAAAACTCACTCAGATGAAAAGGATTTTTTACAGATGCTCAAAGCTTGGGGTGGGGGGCTGCAGTTACAAGAGTTCTGAGAGATGATTGGAGGGAAGGAACACACCCCCTTTCACACAGCACACAGGAACAGAGCTGAGGCTGTCAAATACAGGCTGTGGGCTGGAGCTCCATCCCCTGTCACCTTTTTAGCTTTTAGGCCCCATGTACACGAGACGTTTCTAAATGATGGAAACTGACTGCTGGAAAACGTAGGTTAAAAAATGTCTGCTCAGCCGCGTTTGCATAACGCGTTTATGCGAATTTGCGTTTAGAAGCGTTTTTTAAAGATAAGCACAGGAGAACTTCCCACATGCCCAGAATGCACTGAAAAGTGGTAAATTATTAACTATTTCAGACTGTTTCAGAGAAATACAGAGAGTAGAATGTGTTGAGATAATTAGGTGTGAGCTGCTCATTAACATTTCTTTTGTTTCCAAGGATGGGAATGTGTCTGCTGGAGTGAGTCATTAAGGCCACCTGGCAGGGGGTCTTCATGAGGAATTTGAGTTGTGAATGGACATTAACATATCTTTTGTTTCCAAGGGTGGGAGAGGTCTGTGGTGTGAATTGGTCATTACAATGTGTGACAAGCTTGGTAGGAACATCCTGTGTTCAGTGTTTTGTCCATTTGAGTACCTTGAAAACTCTTTGCATGCATTTTTTATGATGAAAAAAGGCTCTGGACAGCATTGGGAACTGGAGGAGTTAAGAAAAAAATGCAAACACTTCTAAACACGATTTGCCACATTTACAAGCATTTTGCATTTGAAACGCTGATAACATCGACGTCTGAACGCAAGTTTGTTGCATTCAAAAAACAACTGTAAACTCAACTGCCTGTAAACTACTATAAACGAAGATGTGTACATGGACATATAGGAAAACATTAGGGAGAGTTCAGGGGCTGCTGAAAAGAAACGCACAACTTCTCCTGAACGTGAGTTTATCAGCTGCAGTGTACATGAGCCCTTAGTGTCAGGAAAACTTCTCAGAAGTGACTCATGCTGATAGCAGAGAAATGTGATAGGGGACAGAAATGACATAGTGCTGGGGAGAGAGGCAAGCAAACTCTATGGAAATATGTGCTTTGTTCAGATTTACAACCATTTTCATTATTCCTCCTGACCCTTTTATGTTTTATGACAGCCCTGAAAGCCCACTTCAGGAGTGCTACAAGCCATGGAGCTATATTCCGAAGGGAATCATGCCAATCTTCTGGCGTGTGGTCTACTGGACATCACAGTTTTCTCACTTGGTAAGTGTCACAAAAAAACTGTGAAGGATGCCACTTGATCATTTTCAGTATGAAGTTGGAGAAGTTTTTTACTTGCATGCCACAGATCCCACTTTTTATTCCTCATTGCAGATCCTCTAAACTGCCCCACTTCAGCAAGCATGTAACACTCCAGGTCATCTTTCTGCCTGGAATTAACTGGCATTTAAAACTGTCTTCTGAGCAAACTGTCACACATTTGAAGTACATTGGGGTGTATTAATAAAAATAATTTGCAGAGCTGTTCATCCTGTGAAACTGCATGAACCTCCGTGCTGTGTAAACGGGCAATATCGAATCTTAGACTATTTTTTTTCTCCATTTTTTTTATATTGATGCATTCAAGTTTGAGTGATTCAGGAAAAAATTATGGCTACTAAACAGAGCTGCAATCATAGCAAATCATTCTTAAAGGATAAGTTCACCTTTTGGACAAAAATAATAAATGCACATTTTTTGCAGGTAAAAAAAATGTGCATTTAATATTTTTGTCCAAAGGAGCCTGGAAAGCATTGCACCAGAGATCAGTAGATGGCCGATGCCATGCAAGTCTCCTGCAGATCTGTCCGAATATCTGCTTGCTGTACGGGATGGGCGGTCAAGGAAATATTCTGACAGGAAGCTTCAATGAACTGTCACGGTGCTCCACAGCGCCGTGGTAGTTCATTGAAAACTGCCAGCCCAGAGCTGCTAAGGCTGCCGGGAGTTGCAGTTCATTCATTCAGGGAAGCCTGTGACTGAATGACGCGGCTGTGTGGGTAGAGCCCTGTTTTCAAATCTGAAAGTATGGGGGAACGTCTCCCTGTACTCTTTGTCCAAAAGAGGGGGAGGGGTGGCTGCGGCTATGGTTATGGGAACCTTTATTTTCCTATGATTAGCAGCTCCATCGAATGGCCACAATGCAGTATTTTCCTGATACACTGTATTCTGTATGAATGAGTAACTTTGGACTAGAGAAAATGACCTAGTAATGTTCACTTTTGCCCCCATTTGCACAGAATGAATGTATGTGCAGTTTCACAGGATGAAAAGATCTTCAAAATGTTTTAGCAATACAGCCCATACAGTATATGGGAGCTGTTTAATTTACAGATCTCTACATATAAGGTTGCATATTTTATATAGTGTTTTGGGGGCCCCAAAGACTGGAAATATTTCTTTATGAGAATAACATCTTCACTTCCACAATCCTTTTCCCTTGGTCAGGGAGGCTGCCCATTGAAGTAATGGACCAATACTGGAACATTGCATTGGGCAGAGCCATTTTCTGCTTCAAGGATTGGATATTTTCTTCTCAGGGGGAGAGAACAATGGCAATTAGTCTTTAAAAATTCCAACAGTGGTTCCTCTCCAGTTCTCCAATGCACTAGTTGCAGATTTGTACATCTGTTAAATGGTGACTCTTTGACTCTACAGGTAATAAACACAAAATACCCCAAACACCTATCAAATTTACATGGTGCTTTTAATATGCACTAACCACGTATTATTATTATTTATTTATTTTTTTTTTAATCATGAATGGTGTTTGATCATGTTTTTTTTTTTCTTTTGTAGGATTCTGCTGCCTTTCATGCAGTCCTATGCTCGGTCTGGTGGATTTTCTATTACAGGGAAGATTAAAACCGCTCTGATAGAAAATGCTATTTATTATGGTACATACCTGTTAATCTTTGGTGCCCTGTTAATATATGTCGCTGTGAACCCTAAACTGCATCTTGAATGGTAAGCGAATAGGATTTTTTCAAATTTACTAGTATTGACCATGTTTCTACATCCAAATTTGTGATATGTGGACTGATCACTGAGCAGAGATGATGATGCAGATTCATGATCCTGGGATGAACCTAGAGGCACAGAGGTGACACTGGAAGCTGAAAAGTAGAACTAGGATACAGGATTGTCACCCTCCTGCTGGATAGTGTGGCAGAAGTGTGCAGCTTCACCTGGCTATCCAACACTATAAGTCAGCAGCTACAAGTACTGTTCCTATAGAACAGGCCTTGAAATTTCCACTCGCCTGCTGCTCGCCAATGGCGAGTGGAAATTATGGTGGGGGCGAGTGTGTCCCAAAGGGCCGTCTTGCTGAGCAGGCTCGGAGCTCAGGCCAGATCTGTCATTGCACTGGGAGCTGTCAGACTGCTCAATAGCTGAGCGCAGTGAAAGCAAAGGAAGGAGTGTGTGCTGTGCTCTCTGCCTCCCCCTAGAGTGCAGTACCCAGCTCTGTGCGTGAACAACGAAGTACTGCAACTTTTTATAGGGGGTGTGTGTGTACATGTGTGTGTGTGTGTTTTTGTGTATGCATGTATATGTGTGTATCTGTACATGTGTCTGCGTGTATGTACGTGTGTGTGTTTGTGTGTATGTACGTACATGTGTCTGTGTGTACATGTGTATGTATGTACATGTGTCTGTGTATGTATGTATATGTGTCTGTACGTGTGTATTTCTATGTATGTACATGTATCTGTGTGTATGCCTGTCTGTACGTGCCTGTGTGTGTATACATGTGTCTGTATGTGTGTGTGTACATGTGTCACTGTGCGTGTGTGTACATGTTTCTGTGTGTTTATGTCTGTGTGTGTGTGTGTGTGTACAGGTGTCTCTGTTTGTGTGTGTTTTGTTGGTGGCAAGTAACTCTTAAGGCCTGGCTAGTAGCTCAGGACTTGAAATTTTAAGCCCTGCTGTAGAATATGTAAAAAAAGAAACTTATGCTTACCATTAATACAGAATTAGTGTAGCACAACCTCCTCAATCCATACTAGAGAATCCTTACTAATACATATCACATTCTTAATATCCAAAACAAAGTAAATATACACTCAAATAAATAAATCAAATTAAAAACGAAATATTACATAATAAAGTGAAAGTCCAAAAAAACCCCAGCGGAATATTTAGTGAAAAATGATCTTCACTTCTTCCTGCATTGACTTGTGCACCTCCACCATTGAGGTGAAAAACCTGCTCACCTCATATACAGTATTTTTCGCCGTATAAGACGCACTTTTTCTTTCCCAAAACTGTGGGGGGAAATGTCAGTGAGTCTTATGGAGCGAATATGGAGCGGCCGGTCCGGTATTTCCACCGCAGCCGTGTCAGAATACCGGGCTGGCCGCTCAGCTCTGCAGCGGGACCTAACCTGTTCCTCTACCCAGCGGCGTGCTGTCTTCCCGGCTTCTGTAGTGTGGGCACTGGGCATGACAGCCGGGTGCCAAGTGCGCATGCGCAAGAAGCGGTGCTTTTTGTGAATGGTAAGGCGGTACCTGGGACACATGACAGATCCCAGAAGCCGCCGGACCAATCACAAAGCGCAAGTGCTTCTCGCTCATGCGCACTGGGCACCCGGCTGTCATGCCGAGCGCCATTACAGAAGCCGGGAAGACAGCGCACGGCTGGATCGAGGAACAGGTAAGCTCAAACAAAACTCTGCGGAAGTAAGAGCGGGTACCTGTCAAATTCAGGTACCCGCTCCCCACCTCCCCAAAGGTCAGCAGTCATCTGTACTGTCCACAGTCTCTGGTCATCCCTGTGCTGTCCGCAGTCTCTGGTCATCCCTGCGCTGTCCGCAGTCTCTGGTCATCCCTGTGCTGTCCGCAGTCTCTGGTCATCCCTGTGCTGTCCGCAGTCTCTGGTCATCCCTGCGCTGTCCGCAGTCTCTGGTCATCCCTGCGCTGTCCGTAGTCTCTGGTCATCCCCCTGCGCTGTCCGCAGTCTCTGGTCATCCCTGCGCTGTCCGCAGTCTCTGGTCATCCCTGCGCTGTCCGCAGTCTCTGGTCATCCCTGCGCTGTCCGCAGTCTCTGGTCATCCCTGCGCTGTCCGCAGTCTCTGGTCATCCCTGCGCTGTCCGCAGTCTCTGGTCATCCCTGCGCTGTCCGCAGTCTCTGGTCATCCCTGCGCTGTCCGCAGTCTCTGGTCATCCCTGCGCTGTCCGCAGTCTCTGGTCATCCCTGTGCTGTCCGCAGTCTCTGGTCATCCCTGTGCTGTCCGCAGTCTCTGGTCATCCCTGTACTGTCCGCAGTCTCTGGTCATCCCTGTGCTGTCCGCAGTCTCTGGTCATCCCTGTGCTGTCCGCAGTCTCTGGTCATCCCTGTGCTGTCCGCAGTCTCTGGTCATCTGTACTGTGTCTGCAGTCCATTAGTTCAGAATTTTTTTTTCCTGTTTTCTGCCTCTAAAACCTAGGTGCGTCTTATGGTCAGGTGCATCTTATACGGCGAAAAATACGGTATATTGAAACACGCTCCTCTGGACAGTCCCAATGGCACAACTTCTCAGGCTTAGATTCCTCGCTTTATTTATCCTTCTGTTGACCCACACCTACCTCTATCCGTTGTGCTCCTATATAATCCGATATCGCTCACATGTAAAAGAAAGGCAAAGACATAGTGCTCTTCATCTTTTAAAATTTATTCAATCCCCAGCAGATAAAATTACACTTACAGAAATGCAAAATCAATGCACTTTGGTAAAATCTGTCATCGACCTGCTCACCACTCTACACTCAGGATGGCGGTGTTGTGACGTCACAGGCTTGGCTCCCTCCAGTTGGGCTTTCTCCTTCATACGCTTCATACCAGCTTATGAAGTTCAGGGCTGTCTTTCTTGCACCTGAAGTCTTTGCAATGTTTCTTTTCTATCATGCCACCATCTTGGATTCCCTTCTGTCACTTCCTGATCACTCACGGCCAGTCCCGTGCTGTGCATGTGGAAGATTGGCAGACTGCAGGGAGACTGTTTTGAAGCCTCTTGGGATGTAGGACATGATATTCCAGGAGGCTGAGGGAAGCCGAGAACATAATCATTGACTAGATGAGCAATGAGAAAGTGGGAGTAAGTGCAAGTAAAATAAAAAAGAGTAAAATAAAGAGATGCGATTGTGTAACTGGGTTGGGGGAGGATTAGAATTTTATGTGCAGTGTTATTTTTGAGTGAAGGTCTGATTTAAAGTGAACCCATCAGAAGATTGCCATTGCTGATGTAAACTTCTCCTTTTTAGAAAAAAATGAAAAAGTGAACTAGCACTAGAACTGTAAACCCCCGCTGGTCCCCACTGTACTTACCTCTGTGGGTAATGAGATCAATGCCCACACAGTCGGTTGTAGCAGTCCGGGGATTCAAAATCCTCGCTCTTCTCCCTCTTCCTTCTGCAGGGCTTCTGGGATGGATCAGAGTGATTATGACTGGCAAGCAACAGCACAGAGCATTGCTCTGATTCGTTCTGGAAGCACTACAGAAAGAATTGGGAGAAGAGTGGGGATTTCAAATCCCTGGGCTGCTACACTTGCTGCGTAGGCAATGACAGCTCATCACCCACAGAGGTAAGTACAGTGGGGACCTGGAGAGGGTGGTGGTTGAGTGGAGAAGGTGCACTGTGTTGGTTCACCTTTAAATGGAAAGAGTACATATCCTGGGGCTGTTAAACTGATCTTGGATTTGCTTCCTAGTGAGTCATTAACCCTCAAAAATCCTGTCCCAACTGAAATGTGAAAAGTCTACACTGCCATGCATATTCCAGCACTGCGACTCATTTGGTAGGGTGTCAAGAATGATCATGACAGGCTCAGATACTGCTTGCTGTTTTTTTTTTTCTGTTTACCTAGAGTTCTACTGATTTATCAAAAAGTGAATGGGTTACAATTTACTATATGTTTGTGAGTACACTAGTGGCAACTAATGGACAAATTGCAAAGCTGACCATAGATGGTTCGAATCTCAGCTGGTTCAACAGGGACTGGCAGAGATTCGAACCATCTATAGGCAGGCTGATTGTACCCAAGTCGATCCATTGATCATCTTGGGTACATCCAGCATGTCAGATTTACAGCATGTGATTACTGCCGGCGGCTATAGCCACTAGCTGTAATCACTGTGTTCTCCTGGCAGGGAAGGCTCTCTGCCAGGAGAACACAATAACTCCGTGGGAGGGAATCCCCCATCAACACTGTGTTGAGTCAAGTAATTTTCTTTCCTGCAAAACCCGTGGTTGCAGGAAACAAAAATCACATAATTTATGGCCTGTCTAACCTTTAATGAAAATGTCAAAGGATTTAGTCTGAAAAACAACATTTAAAATTTCTTTGTTTAATTATTCCCAGTTTTGTATTTCATCTTTAATCTGCCCAGCACGTTCATGAAATTGGTTGAATGGCATTTAAAGTTAAAGGATGACCACAGTTGAACTATTTTAAAAATTGTATTGTTGTTTATCATTGTTTATTTGCAGTTGTATTTTATCAGTGCCATCCATTATTATTTGTAACAAATTCCACGTGAAATCCTTTGATCTTTATTTTTGAAGGTACCAGCTGCAGACCATTGGGATAGCAGCAGCCAACACATGGGGTCTGTTCCTCTTAGTCTTACTGATGGGGTATGGCCTGGTAGAAATCCCCCGATCACACTGGAATGGGGCAAAGAAGGGCTATCTGCTAATGAAGACTTATTTCAAAGCAGCCAAACTTATGACAGAGAAAGCTGATGCTGAAGAGAACCTGGAGGATGTCATGGAGGTCAGACCAATATGTTCTTCTTCATTTAAACATTTTTTGGAGACTGCTGATGCTAGCTAACAGCGCCTTACTTTTAACCCCTATGTTCCACTAGCAGAAGATTAAAGCTCTGATTTGGGCCATAAAGGAAAACTTCACTTTTTAGTAGATTGTTCAATATGGACCCCTCCCCCTATAGTGGATCATGTGGGTAAAACGTTAACTGCAGTAGAGTGTCTGTGCTCTGCAACAAAGTTCTGGCTTCTTCCTATGGATGGGCCCGTGCTCAGGATGTCCTCAGGTAATTATTACCCAATGGAATGTCCACTATGGAGGAAATGAGGATCCATAAAAATAAATAAATAAAACCGTAACTTTTAATAAAACCTTGGGTCAAAGAAATGTGAGCGTTACCATTGCTGACTTCTATTAAAAGTGCAAGTTCTTGGGTTGCCTTGCTTATCTTATCTTCACTTTACAATATAAGTGTCACTGACACACAACAAGCATGCAGCCAGTGAAATATAAATAAATTAAAGCTTCCATCCTACATGCGTGTTACAATTCTGTAAATATCTACATAGCAAACGTGTGTAGGATGGCAGCCTTGTAAGATGCACCTTTTTAATGTTACACTTCTGTTAAAATTATAGATAAACCTTGAATTGAATACAATAAACCCTTCTAGGCGCCTGTTTTTAAAGAAACCTGGTAACACTAAAATGAATGAATAGAAGAGCTTTTATGCTCTTTTCTCTGGGGACTTGTGTTATCTACCTTCCCTTTGTTCCAGTGTTGCAGCCTCCTGTAAAAATCTTTTGCATTCAAGGGGAACGTTGGATGCTTGCGTCTCCTGTGGAATGCTGTGGTTCCCTTGTCCAATCCCCTATGTCATCTCTGAGTCCTGCAGCCATGCAGGGGTCCAAAGGAACCACAGCAGGGGACAAAGTCAACACCTCTGGAAGTGTGTAATGCCAAGGGACCTAATAGAGACATCAAAGCTAGAACAAAGGGTAGGTAGGAGAGGTGATGGATTTGTACGTTTATTTGCGTGAACGTTTGTAAAACTACACTTTATACATCAGAGCAGATCTGTGTGAAAGAGGACCTCAACTGTGGAGGCTGTACCCAAAAAAGGCAAGCAGAGGTCAACAAACTAATCACCACGATTGACTGTAGTCCCCTTGCAACTGATCTTTCCCCACAACCGAATAACCATGCCTGTTTCACACTATGAGGTTGATTTACTAAAACTGGAGAGTGCGAAAACTGGTGCAGCTATGCATGGTATCCATGTGACAATTGTAAATCATAAATGCATTGGTGCAGTGCTGACTTAATAATAAAATAAACTATAAACAATAAATGTGAAAATAAACGTGAACTTTATCCTCGGTGGGATCTTAATAGTGAAATATATTATTAACCAATGAATTCCAAATGGGACTAGAAACAAGTGTACAAAGTGTACTGATCCACTAGGGATCCCATGTGATATCAATAAGTGAAAAGGGAGGGAGGTGCAGCGCTATATAACTAGACAAAATAATGAATAAAACACCGATAATACACAATAATAAACGGTGACTGTAAGTTAGTGACGCCACTGAATGGTGGCTATGAGGTGAGGAAAGTGAAACAGTCCAATGGAGGAGTGCTCTTAAGATCCAGGATGATCTTCAGACGTCCAATGTAAAGGACCGTCAGGTGATAAAATATAAAGACTGCGCACTCACCAGATACGCAATCTTTATGCGCATTTGTGTGAAATATCACTGGACCTCCTGTGTCATCATCCTGGTCTGGTCAGATCTGGTCAGCATATCCCTCATGGCCTGGTACCCGGATGAATGCAGCTTTTCTGTAGATTTGGCTGGTTCCCACCAGAACTCAAATAAATAGAAAGGGCCACATAGTGTAATATCCTTAGGTAGCTTTATTAGAGGCACAGGATAGCAGGAAATCCAACATACAAAAATAGTAGTACTGACCCAGGTGTAAATCAAAGATGGCCGCAGGTGTCTAGTTATATAGCGCTGCACCTCCCTCCCTTTTCACATATATGTTATTGAAGGTTTGATACGGTGCCTTTTCTGGTGTACAGCCGCTGCTTATTATACATTATCACATAAGCGCTCACTTATCCTTTGCTTTTCTTGATATCAATAAGTGCTGTAATCAACCAAGTCCAAACAAGGACTAAAATAAAGTGTGTAACGTGAACTGATCCACTCAGGGATCCAATGTGATATTCAAAAGGTGAAAAAGACCATAAAAGTAAAGAATATTGTAAATAAATATAGTCCAAATGAGTGGGAAAAAAAAAAAAAACGCAAAAAGTAGGACTAAATGTGCATGGTATCCAGTCAGCTTCTAACTTCTAATAAGTTTTGACAATAAAACGTGAAAGCTGATTGGTTTCTGTGCTGAGCTGCACCAGATTTTGCACATCCATTTAAAGTAAATCAACCCCTACATCTTTGTGTGGAGGTGGTTCAGAGCAGGATTTTGCTTCCTCATCTCAAAGCTGTCCCCCTAATAACTGGTGATCTAATAACTGATGGATGAGTAATTTTCAATAAGGGGAGGATCAGAAGGCATAGATCCATAGGATGCATGAATGAAGCAGGGAGATTCTTGTATGCAGTTCCCTAGGTACAGCTTTCTCTCCAGCAAGGAGAATATTGAGAAGCAGAGTAAATGACATCACCAAGTTTTACTCCAAATCTCCTGAGAATAGCAATCAGAGGCAGCAGTGCATTAGATAAATAATTCAAATCTAAAGTAGCTTTTTTTCTGGTTACTTCTGAACCCTATCTTTTAGCTGATCTTCACTTTTTGAGTTCATGTCTAGTTTAATGTGTAATGTGGGCGGTTGAATTATTAACTTGTATGTGCATGCTTATATGCACTGCCCTGTGAGTAGGATGTTACTTGCAGATTGCCACAGTAAAGCAGATCAACTCCTAGCTGGTGAACACTGTCATCAGACTGTGATTATCAGTTAAAACAGTGTTGCAAAAACACCATCTCATCAAAAAATCTACAAGAGGAAACAGATGGACTGCTGCACTGTGTTAAAGTACATTTGTGTTCATGTTTTTATAGACATTTGACTTACAAAAAAAAAAAATGACTTAATCCTTCTGTTTACCAAAGCACATTGTGCACCAATGATGGAGTAATATGTCACGGTTTCTCTACAGGAAGTCCGTAAAGTGAACGAATGCATCAAATATAATCATCCCCTGCGCAAGTGTGTTGACACTATCCTAAGGAAGGTATAGTAATAATCATCAATGCTGCTTTCATTAGAGCTGCTTAGATGTTGTCTTGCCTCAAAACAAAGTGTTTTTAACACTACTACAATCGCTCACTAATACACAGATTAGGCTTAATAAGTATTAAAGCAAAAAACATGATTTATTGAATAAGTTCTGTTAGTATAATAACATAAGAATTGTCAGAATTGCAAATCATATTTAGATCGTATTATAGCAAGAATAAAACCATCAATACATCACCGTATATTGTAGCATCACCCGTTGCCCAATGATTGGGGGACTCCAGCTATCAGCAAGGGGAAATCCGGGAAATCACCGCAAGGCACGTCTGCCGCATCTTCAATGAGTCCCAAATTCCCCTAGAATCCCCCTTCTTTTATATACATAATTTGGAATGCCTTATCTGCTGCCATGCAAAGTAGTTAGAGACAACTCGTGATCGGCTCGTGCTGTCATGCGTAGTTACATATTTTGATAGAATGTACATCTGGTGAATATCAGCCATATCTCTGGTTTTATCCAGTTTAATGTATACTTCCAACATGTTGTTTTGAACTCCAGTTACCTATCTAATGGTTATAATTGTTAGCATTATGACAGTTGAGCATCAATCACTCCTCAACCATACATCCTATACACTCATGTGACATATTTATCACAGATGTGCCATGTTATTAGTATTTAGTGAATTAGTAAAATCCCATCATAGATTCATCTAATGTATTCTTTCTTAGTGTCCCACTGAGTACCAAGAGAAAATGGGAAGGAATATGGATGATTATGAGGACTTTGAAGAAAAGAATATTAACTATCCCAGTGAGAAGACACTGGTGAAACTCCACAAACAGGTACTGGTAGCCAGTAGTAGGCTAGTTTTCCATCTTTGAAGTTCAACATTGTATGTGTTTTGATATGTATTTTTACGCATGTTGATGTGCATTGCATTAGGGTACCCGTCACTTGAATGGGCTGCACAGCACACAGAAACTGCACTAAAGTACATGCACCTTTTTAAAAACCATGTGTTAGCATGGTGCTTTGGGGTGCCATGAATGAATGGTAACACATTACACCTACTGACTCTCACAGAGCACTGATGTTACCAGAACCTTATACATCATATATAGCAAGAGATCTTTTTTATCATTACAGAAAATTTCATCTGAGACAATAAATCAGACAAATCCAGTGCATGAGACTAATGTAAAACCTCCCAAAAAGAGCCTCAAGGTCCCCAAAAGTATTACTAATACTAATAATATATTACTAAACCTGAGAGTCCCTAGTCACCAAAAGTATTATTAATACTATATAAACCGAGAGTCCCTAGTCACCAAAAGTAAACCCGAGAGTCCCTAGTCACCAAAAGTATTATTAATAATAATATATAAACCCCCTAGTCACCAAAAGTATTACTAATAATATATAAACCGAGAGTCACACCAAAAGTATTACTAATAATATATAAACCGAGAGTCCCTAGTCACCAAAAGTATTACCCGAGAGTCCCTAGTCACTCAACTGGAATATTGGGTTTGTTTAAATATATTTCTATTTCTATTGAAAACAATAACTCAAAAAGGACTGGTGGTCAGTGGCGTACAATCATTTCTTTATTCAACATAGACATTTCTAAAAACAGAAAAATCATACCACACTCCACAGGTCCCTGGTAACAGCCCCTCAAAGGGGAAGCACCCATCAAAAAGCGGAGCAATTAATAATAATAATAATAATAATAATAATAATAATAATAATACTATCTCTCTCCATAAAGAATGCATATGCTCCGTATACAAAATAAAGTAACAAAGCTTGGTCATTCACAGATCTCCTTGAGGGGAAATATGCTCTGTGTCATATATGCCTCTGCCAGTAGTAAGATCTCCATGGATGGAAAATACGATTGGAGTCCCATAGATAAATGAGGTTGTGTAATCCAGGGGAGGGGGTACTGAAAATCATGTAAACCTCCCACTTACACTTGATTGACAATCAGATATATCATGTTGTAGATGACAGTAAGCAGTCCCAGACACTGCATTAACAAACACATGTAATCCAGAGGAGGATATTGGTAATGGTGATTGCAGCTGTATAATGGTATCACCATTACACAGATGTATGTGTTTGTTAATGCAGTGTCTGGGACTGCTTACTGTCATCTACAACATGATATATCTGATTGTCAATCAAGTTTAAGAGGGAGGTTTACATGATTTTCAGTACCCCCTCCCCTGGATTACACAACCTCATTTATCTATGGGACTTCAATCATATTTTCCATCCATGGAGATCTTACTACTGGCAGAGGCATATATGACACAGAGCATATTTCCCCTCAAGGAGATCTGTGAATGACCAAGCTTTGTTACTTTATTTTGTATACGGAGCATATACATTCTTTATGGAGAGAGATATTATTACTCTTAATTGATCCGCTTTTTGATGGGTACTTCCCCTTTGAGGGGCTGTTACCAGGGACCTGTGGAGTGTGGTGTGATTTTTTTTTTTTCTGTTTTTAGAAATGTCTATGTTGAATAAAGAAATGATTGTACTCCACTGACCACCAGTCCCTTTTGAATTATTGTTTTCAATATAAATATTAATATATTTAAACAAACCCAATAGTCTGGTTGAGTCCACAACTAGCCGAAATTTTATTTAGTTTCTCATGAGACTAATGTACTGGAAGCAAGAGAAACCTGGACCTCAGTGAGAAAAATAAATAAAAACCTTTTTCTTGGATCATTAAAAAAAATAACTAGACCCCTTTGTACTGTAAATTGTTGATTTTATTAAAGTGTCTGTATAACCCAAACTTTTTTTTTTTTCTCTGTCCCCACTGCGGAGATCCACCCACTGTTTGTTCCAGTGACCATTGTCAGTGACACAGAAAGTGAGGGAAGCTCTGAAATTTTACATTTGTCATAAGAACAGAAATAGGTGGGAGATCTTTCAATGGGGACACCTATTCCAGTGACCGCTGTATACAAAGTTCCTTACTTTGTAGATTTTCTCTCATTTCCTGTTAAGTTTCAGGCTATGAAGGGAGATCTCCCCAATAGGATGCTTTTCTGTTTCAATATTTTTATTCAGAAAGTTTTGTTTTAAGAATACAACAAGCTCAAGATAATCCCACACGGGCAGAGCAGAACAATAACACATAAACAGATACATCCTGCTGACTTGTATTAGCCAAATAGCGGAATGTCCAATGACATCAAGGAGGAATGGCAAAAAGTCGAACCAAATAATAGCAGGAGCAATCCATCATATTACCGGAAAAAGAAGAGGAAGAAAAAAAAAAAAAAAGGTTAGAAGAAAGGAAAAAGAAAATATGAAAACATAGAGAGAAAAAAGAAAAAGAATCAGAAAGAAAACATGGAGGAAAGGAAAACTAGAAGTATCACGGATCCAGGGCTAGCACAGGCAACGACTATAAGAGGCCATAACTAGTAGGAGGCAGGGATGGCAAGGAATAACGTATCCAAGGTTTCCAAACCTTATGGAATCTCGGATGAGAATCATGAAGAACTCTAGACATCTGTTCATTATTCAACCAATAGGATGCTTTTATCCCTATTTTATCCAAGAAAAAAACAAAAGGTGAGGGAAACAATTTAATGGGATGCTTGCTCCAGTGTCTAACGGAACATTTTAGCAAGATTTCCACTAAATTCCTATAGCATCTGTGGGACAGGGAGTGATGGGAAATTGCCCCAACAAGACACAAACAGCAAGAAAAAGAAAATTTTGCCTAAACATGTATTTAAAGAGATACATTTGACTATAGTGGAGAAATCATGATCTAGCTTTCCTTGATGACATTGGTGTTTGTCTCTGCTTACATCTCTTGTCTCAATGTCCTCAGGTTATCTACGCAGTCCAGAGACATCACCGGACTCAGGTTCAGTGGCGCATGCTGTTGGAACAAGCTTTCCACTTGGAAGATGTCGCTAAAAATGAGACAAGTGCTACCAGACAGTTTGTGCACAGCTTCCCCCAACAGGAACCAGAAAGTTGGCTGACACGATTCTACACTCCTTCTGTTGGTATGAGCACATGGGCAGTATACATGTCATACTCTGCACGGTAATAATATGATGGTCCACACTGGTAGAGAAACTATTGATGGCTTTATTTGGCAGTCATGTTTAAAATGTGTTAACAGTAATGTGCAGAACCTTTAATGAGGCCACTTATGAAAGTTTACATCTTTTTTGAAAAGTCATTAAACTGGAAGTCTTCTGGACACCCAGATACTCAGCATAGCTTAGAATACACTTACCGGCCACTTTACTAGGTACACACTACTAGTACCGGGTTGGACCTTTTGCCTTCAGAACTGCCTTAATTCTTTGTGGCATAGATTCAACAAGGTGTTGGGAACATTCCTCAGAGACTTTGGTCCATATTGACATGATAGCATCACGCAGTTGCTGCAGATTTGTCGACTGCACATCCATGATGAGAATCATCTGTTCCACCACATCCCAAAGGTGCTCTATTGGATTGAGATCTGGTGACTGTGGAGGCCATTGGAGTACAGTGAACTCATTGTCATGTTCCAGAAACCAGTTTGAGATAATTTGAGCTTTGTGACATGGTACATTATCCTGCTGGAAGGAGCCATCAGAAGATGGGAACACTGTAGTCATATAGGGATGGACATGGTCAGCAACAATACTCAGGTAGGCCGTGGCATTTAAACGATGCTCATTTGGTACTAAGGGGCCCCAAAGTGTGCCAAGAAAATATCCCCTATGCCATTACACCACCACCAGCCTGAACCATTGATACAAGGCAGGATGGATCCATGCTTTCATGTTGTTTACGCCAAATTCTGACCCTACCATGTCATGAATGTCACAGCTGAAATCGAGACTCGTCAGACCAGGCAACGTTTTTGTAATCTTCTATTGTCCAGTTTTGTTGAGTTTTGTTGTGCAAATTGTAGCCTCCGTTTCCTCTTCTTAGCTGACAGGAGTGGCACCCGGTGTGGTCTTCTGCTGCTGTAGCCCATCTGCTTCAAGGTTCAACATGTTTTGCGTTCAGAGATGGTATTCTGCATACCTTGGTTGTAACAAGTGGTTATTTGAGTTATTGTTGCCTTTCTATTATCTCAAACCAGTCTGCCCATTCTCCTCGGACATCAACAAGGCATTTTCACCCACACAGCTGTCACTCACTGGATATTTTCTCATTTCCGGACCATTCTCTGTAAACCCTAGAGATGGTTGTGCGTGAAAATCCCAGTAGATCAGCAGTTTTTGAAATACTCAGTCCAGCCCATCTGGCACCAACAATCATGTCATGGTCAAAGTCACTTAAATCCCCTTTCTTCCACATTCTGATGCTCGGTTTGAACATCAGCAAGTCGTCTTCATCACATCTAGATGCCTAAGTGCATTGAGTTGCTGCCATGTGATTGGCTGATCAGCAATTTGTGTTACCGAACAATTGAACAGGTGTACCTAATAAAGGTTGGGGAGTGTAGATCCCATGGTTTGGGAGTTGGTTTAGTCCCCAGTCACACCAGTGTGACTTGTTATATGATTTGATAGTTTCAATGCAAGACAAGCGGACTCCGTCGGAGTCGCACCAATTTTGAAAGTATTTCATGCAGTACTTTTTGTACTGGTGTGACAGGTGTGACTTGCATAGACATCTTTGCATGAAGTCACACAGATGTATTCCAAGTCGCACCTGAAGTCTGACTGACATCCAACTTTGAAATCGTGCGATTTGAAGTGGAGTTACGCAAAAGTCAGATTCGGTTTGTGACCGAAGACTTAGGGTTGGTGTTTTTCAACATTTGTTCTGAAATTTTAAAACAGCTTTAGCAGTTAGCTAGTATGGAAACCTTCACTGTATTAAAATTGAAGGTTCTAATTTTCAGGTATTCATAAATAGTATTAAAGCAAAAAAAGATTGTTGACCAAACCATCATAAACACTTCATTCTTGCATCCTAGACCTCCAAAATAGATAATGATAGAAGTGTTAGGTGTATCAGTTTTTACACAGACTGTGGTGGGACATTAGATTGTAAGTTCATTCACTGATCCAAAAGAATTCTCTAGTGCTGGGAAAATGTCCAAATAAAATGTTATCTTGCCTCTTTTCTTGCACAGAATGGTACTGGGAGTGTCTGCTGCGGCCCTGGTGTTCTCGGATCCTGGCCATCATACTGGTTCTGTTCACTGCTGTGGTTGTGTGGTCAGAATGCACGTTCTTCAGCACCCACCCTGTCCTGTCTCTCTTTGCTGTGTTTATTCAACAGGCAGAGAGGACTTATAACTATATTTACATAGAGGTAAGTCGGGCATAAAAACATTACGTGTAGACTCATTCAGTTGACACAGTCCACCTGCTGAATGATAAATTTTCACCCTAGTTCTCATTTATGTAGTTGGCTACCCTGCCTGTTAATGTGTATCAAAACCCAAAAAGAAAATGTAATATATTGCACTTTACCAGTCTTTATATGTGGTGGCAGTTTTCGGGCTTTTTTCTCTATTTTTCCTTTGCGCTTACTCTTCTCTCTCCTCCTGTTAGCATGTTCCTTGTCAATACTTATACATACAGCAGAGCCTGATGGCTTCTAGTGCTGGCCCCTCCACATAATAATCTGAGTGCTCTGATTAAAAAGTGGTCCTTCAATTATTATATATATATATATATATATATATATATATATATATATATATATAAACAAGTTTTATAGATAGAGTTTGTTTTTTTTTTTTACTTTTAAGGAGACGTAACAAAAGTTTTGAAACCATCCATCCTGATGGCTTCTGGTGATGGCCCCTCCCCATAATAATCTGAGTGCTGTTGGGCAGGGGCTAGAAGTTGGATGATCTCAAGACAGATTGAGGCACTGACTCTAGTCTGTGCACAAACAATATAAAACAAAGGCGCAAACGCCTAGTGCATTATTTATTGAAAGGTAAAAGATATAAAACATACTCACAAAACCATTATGAATGACAGTGTTGTGTGTATAACCCAGGAACCAAAAGCAAGCCCATCAATAGAACTCAGGTTCAAGTGGATGATGACACCAGCTGAAGCATTTCAGGGGTCAAGCCCCCTTCTTCAGAGCAGAACTGGTGTATATATAACCCCACCACTACCTTTACCTTTCAGTAAAGTGCTGCAGATAATGCACTAGGTGTTTGCGCCTTTTGTTGTATATTGTATGTGCAGTTACACAATTTCTCGATCGTTAGAGGGCTGCATCGTCTAGATCATCCAGTCTGGGTTGCCATCATCAGAAGTACCTTGTTCAGCTTCCCTGGGAGGTTTTAGTGCTACGGTGTCCGTTCCTGCCTTATCCTAGACACTTCACAATGTAAGCAGTGCTTGGTTCGGTCATGTCAGCAGCGAAAATTGGGCTAGTTTATTCCAGGCTGCCGATCCATTGATACTCGCATACCTTGCCTGTGCTCCCCTGATGATCTTTCCTCAAACATTTTCATCAGTGCTAAAATCCCCAGTGTGGGATAATGTCAGGGAGTGGTGATGTCACTCCTTCTGTCATGTGACAATATTTGAGTCTAGCAATTGGCTGCTAGAGTTGATCACCATCACATGGGAGGAGACCATGTGTCCAGACGTATTGGGTATTGGTGTCGGGCCCAGGGCCCTGAATGACCAAGGTTACACTTCCTTAACAATTTGCTTTCACTAGGTTCATCATTGATAGCAGTTCAAGCTTGCATGCTGGTTGCACTGTTTGTAGTGAACACTGTTGGTAATGAACACTTCCAGGTAATCTCGATATTTCCTTTCACTTCCAGGTGGCCTGCTTTTTCACCATATTCTTCTTGAGTATCTGCGTTTACTCCACAGTCTTCAGGATCAGAGTGTTCAATTATTACTATTTTGCATCACATCATCAGACAGATGCGTACAGCCTCCTGTTCAGCGGCATGTAAGAGAATCAAACTGCTTTTACTACATTGTGTCTGCTAAACGGATTAATGGAACTAATACCTCTGCTTCACATTGCCGGTCCTACAGCATTAGGGGCAGTTTCATGCTTTGCCTATAACATCCCCTGCTGATGAACTCAACTTTGCAAAAGTTACACAGGATGAAAACACTTTTTTAACCCAAACTTTCTATACACAGGGCCTTAGTAAACACAAGAGTTAAACTTACCTTTACACCACAAGGTTACTGCTGCACACCCTGTAAAATAAGAGACAATATACTTAAAGTGTTTTTAAACCCACAACAGTAAAATCAGTCTGTCTATGCAGTAAAGCATGCTTGTTTTACTCACTGTGGAACCTAAGGGGTTAATCCAACCCATTGTGTAAAAAGGCTGTTTTATCCTATCTTCTCTGATCCTCCCCTTCTTCTCCTGTCCCCAAATCCATCTGTTGTTAATACAGAGCTCTAGGAGACACTCTGCACATGCTCAGTTTAGTGTATGTCTCTAGAGAGTTTTTTTTTTGTCTTTGAGAGGGTGCATGTGATCAGCACAGGGCCAATCAGCACTATTAGGTCAAGAGGGTCAAGGTCATGCAGCCTCATAGGACAGTAAGAGGAGAATGAAAACTCCTCCAACAAGATTAACCAGTGCTTGGCCAGACACTGACTGCTATATACTGCTGATGATAAAAGGTATTTAGCAGTTTATATTTACTAAAATAATTGCATTTCCATGTTGTGTGTACTGTGGGAGACAAGATATAGTGAATGCAGAGCACAGGGTTTAGTAATACTTTAACATTCCAGTGGCACCTTTGCATAGCTTCTTCCCGGTCCCTGCAGGTATTTGACCCTTCCAGATGAGTCCAATACTTCCTCCCCCTGCCAAACGCTATTATTCCTCCCACCTACTTGCACATCTTGAAGTGACAAACCCAACCCCTCCTATTGAACTACCTGCCCCCCTTTCACATGCTGTGGCATGGCTAGTACTGAAAGTTTTTGTACCTGAGATCACTGTCAGTCAGTCCTGAGCTCTGTATGAGAGCTTTCGAGCAGGACTGCAGTGTTCATTTTGGGGGGTTGGTGTCACCAGGTATCCTCCCAGACAGTGAAAGGGCAAGAGTAGACAAAGGGGAGCCTGTAGTGCATAGAAAGGTAGAAAGAAAAGGACATAACTAGAAAGAGGATGCTAACTGATGATATTATTTGCATAATTGGTCCTCCTACGCTTTATCTTCCAAAAAAAAGAGTATATTTGACAGGCTTAGGCATTACATAGTGTGGGAACTAGCATCAAATGGTAGAGCTTTTCCAGCACACAGCCACTCGCTTTCTTTTTTAAAGCAAACGCTCTGCAAATGCCGCATGCGCGGTTTAGCGGAAGTTGCTAGGCGTTTGCCGAGCGTTAATAACGCCCCACAAACGCCTATAATGCAGTTTGAGTGGTGTTACCGCTCCGCAAACGCCCCGCAACCGCGTCGCAACCGCACCGCAAACGCCGGCCGGGCATTTGCGGAGCGGCACCATAGACGAGAATAGGAGGCTTCAAAGCCTCCTGACTCGTCCAGAGGCGTCCGTTTTGCCGCGACGCAAACGCTCCCGTTAGAACAGCACCATGTGCTGTAATGTGCAGAATAGGCAGAGGCGTTTGGGAAGCGGTAAAAACGCTTACCAAATGCCTCTGTGCCGCCTGCACACAAGGCTAGTGTGAACGTAGCCTTACGAACCAAAGAGGAAACTGACAAACCAGTTTCCTCTGCATTTAGAGAACTGCCTGAAGCCCCTCAACCTGTAAGGTTGATAATCCTAGGTTATCACCGTGATTTTCACCGTGGCAGGATACCACACTGCCACAATAGTTACATAGTTAGTCTGGCTGAAAAAAAGACAAAAGTCCATCCAGTTCAACCAAAAAAAAAAAAAAAAGTTATAATCCTATACCCCCAGTTGACCCAGAGTAAGGCAAAAATCCAAGCAAAGCATGATCCAATTTGCTCCTGCAGGGAAAAAAATTCCTTCCTGATCCCCCGAGAGGCAATCGGATATTCCCTGGATCAACTTTACCTATAAATGTTAGTAACCAGTTATATTCTGTGTATCTAGGAAAGAATCCAGGCCTTTTTTAAAGCAATTCACTGAGCTGGTCAGAACCAACTCTTGAGGGAGTCTATTCCACATTTTCACAGCTCTTACTGTGAAGAAACCTTTCCGTGTTTGGAGATTAAATTTATTTTCCTCCAGATGTAAAGAGTGCCCCCTTGTCCTCTGTGATGACCTCGGGGCGAATAACTCTACACCGAGTTCACTATATGAACCACTGATGTATTTATACATGGAGATCATATCCCCCCTTATGTATTATACATGGAGATCATATCCCCCTTATGTATTATACATGGAGATCATATCCCCCCTTATGTATTATACATGGAGATCATATCCCCCTTATGTATTATACATGGAGATCATATCCCCCCTTATGTATTATACATGGAGATCATATCCCCCTTATGTATTATACATGGAGATCATATCCCCCTTATGTATTATACATGGAGATCATATCCCCCCTTATGTATTATACATGGAGATCATATCCCCCCTTATGTATTACACATGGAGATCATATCCCCCCTTATGTATTATACATGGAGATCATATCCTCCTTATGTATTATACATGGTGATCATATCCCCCCTTATGTATTATACATGGAGATCATATCCCCCCTTATGTATTATACATGGAGATCATATCCCCCCTTATGTATTACACATGGTGATCATATCCCCCTTGTGTATTATACATGGAGATCATATCCTCCTTATGTATTATACATGGTGATCATATCCCCCTTATGTATTATACATGGAGATCATATCCCCCTTATGTATTATACATGGAGATCATATCCCCCCTTATGTATTATACATGGAGATCATATCCCCCCTTATGTATTATACATGGAGATCATATCCCCCCTTATGTATTATACATGGAGATCATATCCCCCTTATGTATTATACATGGAGATCATATCCCCCCTTATGTATTATACATGGAGATCATATCCCCCCTTATGTATTATACATGGTGATCATATCCCCCCTTATGTATTATACATGGTGATCATATCCCCCCTTATGTATTATACATGGTGATCATATCCCCCCTTATGTATTATACATGGTGATCATATCCCCCCTTATGTATTATACATGGTGATCATATCCCCCCTTATGTATTATACATGGAGATCATATCCCCCCTTAATCTGCTCTTCTGAAGAGACAATAAATTCAGTTCCTCTAATCTTTCCTCATAGCTGAGCTCCTCCATGCCTCTTACCAGTTTGGTTGCCCTTCTCTGTACTTTCTCCAGTTCCCCAATGTTCTTTTTGTGAATTGGTGCCCAAAACAGAACTGCATATTCCAGATGAGGTATTACTAATGATTCTAGTGTTCTCTGAACACATTTGAAAGCTAGAAAAGATGGTGTTCCCAGAATGCCAGATAACCATCAACAATCAGATACTTGCAGTGGGGTTGCCTCTTACAAACAAATTAAGCTTACAGAACCCACAGCCTTCCCGCCCTGGATTTCTGACTGTTATGTAGCTTCAAAGATGGCCAAGGGTCCTGCAGCATGACATGTCATTAAAAGCTTGGTTCTTGCAACTTAAAGATGAGTTCTAGTCATGGTATATTTCTACATAGTTTCACTGGTCCAGCTTGCAACTATTCTTATACCATACCCGGCTGATACCCCTGGAAGCTGGAAATCACTGAAATCACTGCTACCCCAATGATCTTCACTTGCTTCTGGGTCCTGTACCAAGCGGCTACTCTCCTTCATTGTGAACATAGGAGGTTGGTCACTCACCACGGGTAGCATTCAGAAAACGTAAATCCCCCACTTCTCCACCTTGTCCAATCAGAGAACGCTTTGCATTCATTCTGTAAATGCAAATTCTCTTGATTTATTTTGGTACGCTAGCATGAGTATGTGTATAGTGTGGACGACCCACTCATTTATTTATTTAATATTTTATACACCAGCTCATTTGATTTATACTCCATTGTATTTATTTTTCATTTATACCAAACACACGGTGATATTTCGTTACCCTGTTGGTTTCTTTATATTTATATATATATATATATATATATATATATATATATATATATATATATATATACTTTATATATATTTTCACTTATTTTCACTTATAGTACACACCATAGTAGCTCACAAGAATTACGTATATTATTCTCTGAATGGTGCCCATGCTGAGCTGCTGATCTCCTGTGTTCAGGATGCATCAGGTTGGCCACTTGGCACACGACCCGGATGCAAATGGAGATCACTTTAGTCATTTCCAGCTTCCAGGGGGATCAGCCAGGTATGGTATATACATAGTTACAGGCTGAAAAAATTTATTTACAATATGTCAAGATATACCATGCCTGGAATTCCTCTTTAATAACATATGGATTTCATTCCCTGTACCTAAAACCTATTGGACCTAAATTAGGGAGCCTGTGTGTTCTTACTGTTAACCAGCCAGATTTTTAGGAGATTTTTAGGAAAAATCCCTTCTTCATTTTCCTGTTTATATTAAATCAGCATCAATGTATTTAGACGCCTCCAATTGTAGTAGGATCATAATAGTTTCCCTTTTTTTTCACCTTTATCTTATTTAAAATGTGTTTCTTTTCTGCAGGTTATTCTGCCGTTTGACTCCTCCACTGTGTTTGAATTTCCTGGGTCTGACTCATATGGATGGATCCATTTCTCACCAGAACTCCGAGCAGACTGCCTACACTTCAGTAAGTGCTTTATCTAATCATGGAAGCAGTTACACTACAACACTGCTTTGTTCCTAAATGGCTTTTGTCTCCTTTTATAGATTATGGGATCTTTAAAGGTTCTACCACTTATTGCTGATGGGTTTTATATCTATTACCCCATGCTGGTTGTCATCCTGTGCATTGCCACATATTTCAAGTAAGTGATGCACTTTGATATCTAGTTGCATCATACAGAAGGATTAGCACTATAGTTACATAGTTAGTCTGGCTGAAAAAAGACAAAAGTTCATCCAGTTCAACCATTAAAAAAAAAAAAAAAAAAAAAGTTGATCCAGAGGAAGGCAAAAAAAAACCCAGCACAGCATGATCAAATTTGTTCCTGCAAGGAACAAAATTCCTTCCTGATCCCTCGAGAGGCAATAGGATATTCCCTGGATCAACTTTACCTATAAATGTTAGTATCCAGTTATATTCTGTGTATCCAAGAAATAATCCAGGACTTTGTTAAAGCAATCCACTGAGCTGGCCAGAACCAACTTTTGGAGGAGTCTATTCCACATTTTCAGAACTCTCACTGTGCAAATGATTTTTTTATATCATTCTGAGATCTGTTTTCTAATTATACTGTGCTCCAATAAAGGTTGATCAGGTATCCTGAAATATGGTAGAGGTACTGTCATGGAAATAGTTATTATTATTATTATACAGGATTTATATAGCGCCAACAGTTTGCTCAGGCGCTTTACAATATAACGGGAGAAAATACAGCAACAATACAGTTCAATACAAGAGGGTTAGGAGGGCCTGATCCTTGGAGCTTACAATCTAAGAGAAGAGATATCAGCCTCCTAAACCTTGTTTTGGCTGAATCCCAGGTCGATCACATAGGCTAAGCTGATCTCTTACCAATGGTACTGTAGGTAGCCCTTTCTGCACATTACTTTTGGCTAGAGAGGACAGCCCATTCTAGTTATGGGCCAATAGGAGATTTTCGTGGAGTGGGAGGTAGCAGCAAGCTCAGGTGTTATCTGGATGTGTATCAGAAAAAACAGCCATTATCTGATAGTGTTGGAGCTTTGCCTGTCAGAATTACAACAGTCTGCATATGTGCCTCCCACTTGTTAAGGGACCAAAAGTAATGGGACAGTTGGCTTCCCAGCTGTTCCATGGCCAGGTGTGTGTTATTCCCTCATTGTCCCAATTACAATGAGCAGATAAAAGGTCCAGAGTTCATTTCAAGTGTGCTGTTTGCATTTAGAATCTGTTGCTGTCAACTCTCAAGATGAGATCCAAAGAGCTGTCACCATCAGTGAAGCAAGCCATCATTAGGCTGAAAAAACAAAACAAACCCATCAGAGAGATAGCAAAAACATTAGGCGTGGCAAAAACAACTGCTTGGAACATTCTTAAAAAGAAGGAACGCACCGGTGAGCTCAGCAACACCAAAAGACCCGGAAGACCACGGAAAACAACTGTGGTGGATGACCGAAGAATTCTTTCCCTGGTGAAGAAAACACCCTTCACAACAGTTGGCCAGATCAAGAACACTCTCCAGGAGGTAGGTGTATGTGTGTCAAAGTCAACAATCAAGAGAAGACTTCACCAGAGTGAATACAGAGGGTTCACCACAAGATGTAAACCATTGGTGAGCCTCAAAAACAGGAAGGCCAGATTAGAGTTTGCCAAACGACATCTAAAAAAGCCTTCACAGTTCTGGAACAACATCCTATGGACAGATGAGACCAAGATCAACTTGTACCAGAGTGATGGGAAGAGAAGAGTATGTAGAAGGAAAGGAACTGCTCATGATCCTAAGCATACCACCTCATCAGTGAAGCATGGTGGTGGTAGTGTCATGGCGTGGGCATGTATGGCTGCCAATGGAACTGGTTTCTTGTATTTATTGATGATGTGACTGCTGACAAAAGCAGCCGGATGAATTCTGAAGTGTTTCAGGCAATATTATCTGCTCATATTCAGCCAAATGCTTCAGATCTCATTGGACGCCGCTTCACAGTGCAGATGGACAATGACCCAAAGCATACTGCAAAAGCAACCAAAGAGTTTTTTAAGGGAAAGAAGTGGAATGTTATGCAATGGCTAAATCAATCAGCTGACCTGAATCCGATTGAGCATGCATTTCACTTGCTGAAGACAAAACTGAAGGGAAAATGCCCCAAGAACAAGCAGGAACTGAAGACAGTTGCAGTAGAGGCCTGGCAGAGCATCACCAGGGATGAAATCCAGCGTCTGGTGATGTCTATGCATTCCAGACTTCAGGCTGTAATTGACTGCAAAGGATTTGCAACCAAGTATTAAAAAGTGAAAGTTTGATTTATGATTATTATTCTGTCCCATTACTTTTGGTCCCTTAACAAGTGGGAGGCACATATGCAAACTGTTGTAATTCCTACACCGTTCACCTGATTTGGATGTAAATACCCTCAAATTAAAGCTGACAGTCTGGGTTAAAACACATTTTGTTTGTTTCATTTCAAACCCATTGTGGTGGTGTATAGAGCCAAAAATGTTAGAATTATGTTGATGTCCCAATATTTATGGACCTGACTGTAGTAATAGCTTCACTACTAAAACCTGACAGATTTGCATTGCAGTATGTAGCCAAACATTTTTGTGCACAATTCTACAGAATTCTGTGATAAGAGCCTTCCTTTATAACAGTGGTTCTTAACCTTGTTGGAGGTACTGACCCCCACCAGTTTCATATGCGCATTCACCGAACCCTTCTTAATTGGAAAAATAAAATATGATTTTTAAAATTCAAAACATAGGTATATATTTATACATAGGTGCACAAAATGAACAAAACCGTTAAGAACAAAGAACAAAACCATTAAAACATGATTTTCACACAAAAAAAAAAACATAATAATGAATATTTACTGCACGAATCATATGAGTCGGGTGTGGGTCTTCACCTCTGCCGAACCCGCGAGACTGACTCACTGAACCCCTGGGGTTCGATCGAACCCAGGTTAAGAACCACTGCTTTATAATCTTCCTTTTTAACCCAACCACATTGATTCATGTCTAGCCAGCTTGTTTTACAGGAAAGATCACATTTCCTTTCACTCACTCATTGCAGGAGGCTGATTTATAATTTACAGCCTTAACGCATTCACAGGGGAGCTGTGTGCTGGTTGATGATTGAGGACTGAATGGGCATCTTTGGCAGCATCTTCTGTTAAAAAAAAAAACCAAAAAACAATATAAGCTTTCCTCTGTATTTTATGCACCAATTACAAGAATATGTTAAAGCTTATAAGAGATTTCAGTGATTGGATTTGTGTCAAATTTAAAGCTGAATTCCAGTTATACATATTTTTGCATAGTTGTACTTATCCAATGTAAGTAAGTGTGTATGTGTGCCATACCTGGCTGATCTCTATGGAAGGCTGGAGTACTGCTACAGTGATAGCCACTAGTTTCCGGATCCCATGCTGATCAGCTGCTTAGTGAACACAGAAAGTTGCGTACTCGGCACTGGCACCATTTAGGAAACCCTTTGCATTTTCTCAATAGATGCAAAGGTCTGCCTGATTGGATGAGGTGGAAATTATGTCACTGTGCTACCTCTCCACCTCATCCAATCAGAGAAAACGCAGTGTTCTCTGATCACTAAAGTAGCAGAAACTACTACAGTGATTGCCAGCTTCCACGGGATCAACCAGGAATGGGACGTGCATACTTACTTATATTGTAAAGCACTGAGCAAACTGTTGGCACTATATAAATCCTGTATAATTATAATAATACTTAACGTTGGATGAGTACAACTATGCCAAAATATGCATACCTGGAATTCAGCTTTAAACCTGATATAAATCCAATCACTGAAATCCCTTATAAGCTTTGAACATGTTATTGTAATTGGTACATGCAATTCCGAAAAAAAGAATGAAATTTTTTTTACAGAAGATGCTGCCAAAGATGCCCATTCAGTCTTCAGTCATTAACTTTTTTTTTTTTAATGGTTGATCTGGATGGACGTTTGTCTTTTTTTCACTATGTAACCAGCACACAGCTCTCCTGTGGAAATGAATGAGTAAGGGCTGTAAATTACAAAACAGCCTATTGCAATGAGTGAGTGAAAAAAAAAATGTGATCTTTCCTGTAATTTCAAAAGTTGTCATTCTCTTTTAAATCTGCAGCTTTAATTAAAATAATACTTTGTGATCCTGCCATAAAATCCTTATTCAGGTACTTCCTATTTTGAGGTGACAAACATCTCCTGTGTCCCTGTGCTGTTACCCTGCCGCATGCCTCCCTGAAGGGGACAGCTGTGCTAACACACATTGCGCTGGCATGGATCACAGCTTTCACTATCAGGGAGCTAGTCATGAGCAATGATGTACATGGAGACTGGTAGCAGCTGAAAGAGATAAGCAGCACTCAGCTGCAATAAAAAAAAAAAAAAAAAAAAAAACTTTTTTTTTTTTTTTTTTTTTAAAGAAAACACATTAGTTTGGTACACAGTGCTTTAGAAAAACAAATGTCTTCCTGTTAGTGTTAATTTCTACCTAAAGTGAGTGTAAATTCTTATTTTTTTTTTTTAATCAACAAACATGTTATACTTACCTGCTCTGTGCAGTGAAATTGCAGAGTGACCCCGAACCTCCTCTTTTGGGGTCCCCCGCCAGCATGTTTGGCTTCTCCTATTCTCCATGTGCCCCCATAGGAAGCTGCTACCCATGGGGTTGCATGTGCTCAATCCCCAGCCACGCTGCCTGCGTCTATATGTACACACAGCACGGCTCATCCCTGCTCCCTCGGCACAGGATTTGACTGACAGCAGCAGAACCCATGGCTCCTGCCTCAGCAAAGCCTGTGAGAGAGAGAGAAAGAGGGGAGAGCCGCTACATACAGGCACAGTGCTGGATCAAGTGAGAACTCGGATAAGTATAAGTGGAGTGATGGAGCGATACAGGTACTGGAACATTTTTTAACTTAATGCAGGAAAATAATTAGGGTAAAAAATGTTTAGGCTTTATAATCACTCTAAGCTGGGGAGTGTAAATAATTGAAAAAGAGCTTATTTTCTGGAAAACCATGTATATATGATTTCAAGTGGAAATCCTTAATTTTTGTCACTTTGCTCTGATGGCTTGCCTCCCTCATCCACATTACAAACATTTTTTTGATTCTCAAAGTGATACCAAATTCTACCAGAAGATGTCAGTGCATTTGAAAGCCTCATCACAGCTCTTCGGCCTTGTTAAAGTGTTACTAAACCCAGGACCCTGCATTCACTACATCTGGTCTCCCACAGTACAAAACATGGAAATGCAATTATTTTAGTAAATATAAACCGTTAAATACCTTTTCTCATCAGCAGTTATAGCAGTCTTGTGACTTCCATCAGTGTCCAGCCGAGCACTGGTTAAGGCTTGTAGGAGGAGTTTTCATTCTGCTCTGACTGTCCTATGAGGCTGCATAACCCCTGACCCTCTGGACAGTGCTGATTGGCTCTTTGCTGATCACATGCACTCTCCCAAAGAAAAAAAAAATTATCTAGCTATACACACCGAAACTGAGCATGTGCAGAGTGACTTCTAGAGCCCTGTATTATTAGCAGATAGATTGGGGACAGTTGAAGAAGGGCAGGATCAGAGAAGACAGGATCAAACATCCTTTTTACACAATGCAGAGGATTAACCCCTTAGGTTCCACAGTGAGTGTAACAAACCTGCTTTATTGCATATACAGACTGATTTTACTATTGTGGATTTAGTAACACTTTAAATTGGTGGTCATTGGGAGAAGATCCCCTGCACACTGATCCTTAGTGGAAAGAGTTCCCCTTACAGATAGCTAAAAGGATTATAAGAATCCGCAGTTACTTATCTGAGAGGCAGACATTCTATCTTTATCCAAAAACAAAATAATCTTTTTTTATTATTTATTATTATTATTTTATTATTATTATTATTATTATTATTATTATTATTGTAGCTTTCTTGTCCTTGGATGTTGTGCTTTCATTTGTTTTCCTTCCTTTTCCCTATTTTTTTTTTTCACCTGTGATCCTACCAATAACACTAACTAATAACTTCCTGTCATTGGGTGGCTACATTTTTTTTCCCTCTGGTGCATCTATGTGTGGAGCCATTGTTGCCACCCAGACTGCCTTTGTTTCCATTACATTAGGGCTAAAGGGAATAGTAGTTTACATTTGGCAAGGTCATTTTTCTTGTTTAATGTCCTTGTCACTTGCTGTGAACTTAACACATAGCAAAATAATCTCAACAGATATTTTTTTTTACTTGCTGAAAATGTTCTTAGCCTGAAAAAGAATACTAATGCAGTCACCACATCTAATGAATTCTAAGCTGCAATATATTAAATGTTTGGGTTTAGATACGCTTTACACCAGGAACTTTAGTCTTGGTGGAGTTACCATTAAAGTATACCTAAAGGCAAAAATTTTCTTTTAGTTTTGGATAGAGTGGAGGTGGATTAGAACCCTGTCAGGTTTTTATTGCAATTTGTACCCGAGATGAGCGAATCGAACCAGGCGAAGTGGAATTCGATTCGAATTTCAGGAAAAATTCGATTCGCGTCGAATCCGAATATTAGCCTACTTCGGGTGCGCGAATCGGATTTTTTCCCGATCAGCCGGCAAAAGTGTCCCTGCAGAGAGCTCCGCTATTTCTGACAGTTCTCTGACAGTTCCTTCACATGTACAGCGGTTGAAACATTGTATCTATTTGTTTCCATTTAGGATACAGATGTTTTTATTCGGAAACAGATACAATGTTTCAACCGCTGTAAATGTGAAAGTCAGAGAACTGTCAGAAATAGAGGAACTCTGCAGATACACTTTTTGCCGGTTTGGAATTATTCTTATTTTCATCCTACTTCTTCTTCTTCTTCTTCATCCTCATCCTCAGAAGAAGAAGAAGAGGATGAGGATGAAGAAGAAGAAGAAGTAGGATGAAAATAAGAAGAATTCCAAGCCGGCAAAAAGTGTGTCTGCAGAGCTCCTCTAAGTGTATCTGCAGAATAGAGGAGCTCTGCAGATACACTTTTTGCCGGCTTGGAATTCTCTTATTTTCATCCTACTTCTTCTTCTTCTTCCTCCTCATTCTCTTCTTCTTCTTCTGAGGATGAGGATGAAGAAGAAGAAGAAGAAGTAGGATGAAAATAAGAAGAATTCCAAGCCGGCAAAAAAGTGTATCTGCAGAGCTCCTCTATTCTGCAGATACACTTAGAGGAGCTCTGCAGATACACTTTTTGCCGGCTTGGAATTCTTCTTATTTTCATCCTACTTCTTCTTCTTCTTCATCCTCATCCTCAGAAGAAGAAGAAGAGGATGAGGATGAAGAAGAAGAAGTAGGATGAAAATAAAGAAGAATTCCAAGCCGGCAAAAAGTGTAACTGCAGAGCTCTGCTAAGTGTATCTGCAGAGCTCCGCTATTTCTGACAGTTCTGTGACATTCCCTCCATACAGCGGTTGAAACATTGTATCTATTTGTTTCCTTCTCCTTCTTCTCATCCTTCTCCTTCTTCTCATCCTTCTTCTGATCCTTCTCCTTCTTCTCATCCTTCTCCTTCTTCTCATCCTTCTCCTTCTCCTTCTTCTCATCCTTCTCCTTCTTCTCATCCTTCTCCTCCTTCTTCTCATCCTTCTCCTTCTCCTTCTTCTCATCCTTCTCCTTCTCCTTCTTCTCATCCTTCTCCTTCTCCTTCTTCTCATCCTTCTTCTCATCCTTCTCCTTCTTCTCATCCTTCTCCTTCTCTCATCCTTCTCCTTCTCCTTCTTCTCCTTCTTCTCATCCTTCTCATCCTTCTCCTTCTCCTTCTTCTCATCCTTCTCCTTCTTCTCATCCTTCTCCTTCTCCTTCTTCTCATCCTTCTCCTTCTCCTTCTTATCATCCTTCTCCATCTTCTCATCCTTCTTCTCCTTCTCCTTCTTATCATCCTCTCCTTCTCCTTCTCCTTCTTCTCATCCTTCTCCTCCTTCTCCTTCTTCTTCTCATCCTTCTCCTTCTTCTCATCCTTCTTCTCATCCTTCTCCTTCTTCTCATCCTTCTTCTCATCCTTCTTCTCATCCTTCTCCTTCTTCTCATCCTTCTCCTTCTTCTCATCCTTCTCCTTCTTCTCATCCTTCTCCTTCTTCTCATCCTTCTCATCCTTCTCCTTCTCCTTCTTCTCATCCTTCTCTTCTTCTCATCCTTCTCCTTATCCTTCTTCTCATCCTTCTCCTTCTCCTTCTTCTCATCGTTCTCCATCTTCTCATCCTTCTCCTTCTCCTTCTTCTCATCCTTCTCCTTCTCCTTCTCCTTCTTCTCATCCTTCTCCTTCTCCTTCTCCTTCTTCTCATCCTTCTCCTTCTTCTCATCCTTCTTCTCATCCTTCTCCTTCTTCTCATCCTTCTTCTCATCCTTCTCCTTCTTCTCATCCTTCTTCTCATCCTTCTCCTTCTTCTCATCCTTCTCCTTCTTCTCATCCTTCTCCTTCTTCTCATCCTTCTCCTTCTTCTCATCCTTCTCCTTCTTCTCATCCTTCTCCTTCTTCTCATCCTTCTCCTTCTTCTCATCCTTCTACTTCTTCTCATCCTTCTCCTTCTTCTCATCCTTCTTCTTCTTCTCATCCTTCTTCTTCTTCTCATCCTTCTTCTTCTCATCCTTCTCCTTCTTCTCATCCTTCTTCTTTCTTCTCATCCTTCTTCTTCTTCTCATCTTTCTTCTTCTTCTCATCCTTCTCCTTCTTCTCATCCTTCTCATCCTTCTCCTTCTTCTCATCCTTCTTCTCATCCTTCTTCTCATCCTTCTTCTCATCCTTCTCCTTCTTCTCATCCTTCTCCTTCTCCTTCTTCTCATCCTTCTCCTTCTTCTCATCCTTCTCCTTCTTCTCATCCTTCTCCTTCTCCTTCTTCTCATCCTTCTCCTTCTCCTTCTTCTCATCCTTCTCCTTCTCCATCTTCTCATACTTCTCCTTCTCCTTCTTCTCATCCTTCTCCTTCTCCTTCTCCTTCTTCTCATCCTTCTCCTTCTTCTCATCCTTCTCCTTCTCTCCTTCTTCTCATCCTTCTCCTTCTTCTCATCCTTCTCCTTCTCCCTTCTTCTCATCCTTCTCCTTCTCCTTCTCCTTCCTCATCTCCAAGGGCATTTAAATTAAAGGTACAGTGTTCTGCACTAATTTAAAGGCTCTCTGAAGCCTAGAAACCCTTTTAATAAGTTAAATTCGTAGCGAATTAATTCGCATCGAATCAAATTTCTTCCTCAAATTCGGCGAATCAGCCGAATCGAATTTTTGAATAATTCGCTCATCTCTAGTTATAACCCTCCCTTTCTCTACCCAAAGTGAAAAAAAAATGTTTTTTCCTATAGTTCTACGTTAATCCTTATGTTGTAGTTTGGTAATATTTTTTTTAATTTATGAACAGATTGTTACATGCCTTGCTTTTAGAATGTGTGTATTCTGCTTTCATGCTGTGTTTTTATGTCTCGTGCTATATTATGTAATCACTTTTATCTATTATCTTGTTAGTTTGGGGACTCGCTGCTTAAATTTACTGGGCTTTCAGCAGTTTATGGGAGACAACGACATGACCTCTGATCTAACTGATGAGGGAAAAGAGTTGATCAGAAGAGGTAGGTTCTCTTCATAAGTAAAAGTTATATTTTAAGAAGGATGGAAAATCCAAGTATATGACAAATGATCGTTACTGTGAGTTTTAATGAGTTTATAAAAGTGCTGACCATTCTAGACAGCAATCTGCTTTTAACTCCTCAGCATCTATCAAACTCAAACACTTTTAAATAGAACAGGAACATTCACACTTAAAGACCGCCCCATAACAGATTTACTGCTACAGGGTGGTCCTCCTGTGCAAAATCATATATATAAACATGATTTTGCACTTCCGACTAGGGGGCGCTCACAGCAGAAGCCGATTTGCGAGTGCCAGTGAACGGATGTCCACCGGTACCCACCCAGCGTTGGGCAGAGGCACAGAACAGAGCTCGGCCTGTGTAAACAAGGCAGGACGGGGGGAAGTGATGGATCTTGTGTCCCTGAAAATATAAAATATAAAATATATATATTTGATTCAAAATTGTCTTTTTTTTTTGTTTATAGCGCAAAAAAAAATGCAGTGGTGATCAAATACCACCAATAGAAAGCTCTATTTGTTGGGAAAAAATAGCATAAGTTTAATTTTATGTACAGCGTTGCATAACCATTCAATTGTCAGTTAAAGTAACATAGTGCCACATTGCAAAACATTACCTGGTCAGAAAGGGCAGGGGGGGGGGGGGGGGGGGGTTAGATTTTCCAGAGGGCAAGTGGTTAAAGTGTATGTCAAGGGAAAATAAATAAATACAAAAAGTATGCGTTACATGTCTGCAATACATTTTCCAGTGTTTTATCCCTTTAACCACTTCCATACCGGGCACTTTTACCCCTTTCCTGCCCAGGTCAATTTTCAGGTTTCAGCGCTCTCACACTTTGAATGACAATTGCGCGGTCACACAACATTGTACCCAAACTAAAATTTTATCATTTTGTTCACCCAACTAGAGCTTTCTTTTGGTGGTATTTAATCACCACTGGGGTTTTTATTGTTTGCTAAATTAACAAAAAAAGACAGAAAATTTGGAAAAAAAAACACATTTTTCTTTGTTTCTGTTATAAAAGTTTGCAAATAAATAATTGTTCTTCATAAATTTAGGCCAAAATGTATTCTGCTACATGTCTTTGGTGAAAATAACCCAAATCAGTGTTTATTATTTAGTCTGTAGGAAAGTTATAGAGTTCACAAACTATGGGATATATTTGAATCTAATTTCTTGAGGCACAAAAAATGTCAGAACAGTACAGATATCCCCCTAATGACCCTTTTTTTTGAAAAGTAGACAATTTCATAGGAGGTATGGCGAGTTTTTTGAAGTTGTAATTTTTTGGCATAAAAACATTATTTTCACAATTTTATTTTTTACATACTGTCACCAGTGCAGTACAGTGTCATCATATAACTGGTGTGGTGGTGATCAGGGACACTGACTGGTGACAGTACATAGAAAAAAAATTGATAATTTTTTTTAAATTTTTAATTTTTTTTTATTACATATTTTCTATTTTTTTTAAGTTTTTTTTTTTTTTCATATTACACTATGATGACCAAAGTAGTATAATGTTACCATAGTAACATTGTACTACTTTGGGGAAGTGATCAGTATTTTTTTTTTTCTTTACATAATTTGATTGCTTATAGCAAAGAATTTCTTTGCTATAAGCAAGCATTTAACTGAATGAAATCGATTCATTCAGGTTTTTTCGTTATTAGTTGTGATTGGCCACGGCTAATCACATGACACAGATGGGTTGTGATTGGCCCAGCCTGTGCATGTGATCACTGTGATCATTCACAGCTAGACAAATTTGTATACAATGGATGGCATGAAAGGAAGCCATCCATTGTATACAACTGTCATATTACCTGCTGTGATTGGTCACAGTGGTCACAGCAGGTCACATGGTACTGGCAACGGGGCCGGAACACAGATCTGTCATCGTCGGGGAAGTATTTAAAGGCCTTATAAAGTGTAGAATAATACCTGTAGATCTGCCAGAAATGCAGTCAACTCTTAATATCCTGTTGTGGCTGACATCACAGCATTTTTGTGGTCTGAGTGGTGTAAGCCTTGCCCAGTTGTCTTTTGCTAAACTAATGAACCACTCTCACTGTCAGATCTTCAACATAAAGGCTGATTATTCCGTAGTCCAAGGCTAAGTTCAGTCCTTTGCAAGCACGCAAAATCGCTCACTATCCCAACATGCAAATAAATGTACTTCCGTTTAGCCGATGCATGGTGGTTCCTAGTATGCAAGAAACATGCAGAAGGCAGCATGCTTGGTTGCACCTGGAGGTGTGAACTAAGCCTTTGATGAGAACTAGGAGGGCTGGCTCTTTGAGATAACACAGGGAGTGTGCGGAGGACACAGGGCAGCTCGGAATTTCTGACAAGATTTATTATTTACTTATATAACGCCGTCTATTTACGCAGCGCTTTACATATATATATATTGTACATTCACATCAGTCCCTAATCCTCAAGGGGCGTACAATATAAGGTCCCTAACTCACATTCATACATACACATACTAGGGCCAATTTAGACAGGAGCCAATTAACCTACCAGCATGTCTTTGGAGTGTGGGAGGAAACCAGAGTACCCAGAGGAAACCCACACAGGCACAGGGAGAACATGCAAACTCCAGGCAGGTGGTGCTGTAGCTGGGATACAAACCAACGACCCTAGTACTGCCAGGCGAAAGTGCTAACCATTTAGCCACTGTGCTATCAACAGATTTAAATTTTTTGTTTATCAGACAAAATAAAATAAAATGCTTCTACTAGTTAAACAGATCAAATGGGAACAAATAAGAAGTTCATTTTTCGGGTTTACATACATTTTAGGAATGTTTAGTCTAGGTGGGGGTTATGTTTTTTACCTAGAAGTCCTTCATTTTAGGATATTAACGCTTTATACTTTGTCCTTTTACTTTAGAAAAGCGGAAACGTCAAAGGCTTGAAGATGGTGAAACTCGCAGGAGGGTGCGTCATCTTGGTTTGTTATAAATACATTTCATGGTTTTCTGAGGAAATGGTTATGGGGGAGCATCAAACCCCAACCAAGAAAACAAAATAGAAAATGACGAGTGGCATCAATGATATGCTGAATATAAAATGTGTGCTCATTCAATTCATTAAATTGTAATTGCTGTTTGTTTTATGTGTATCGCCTGTATTTGTTTTTGCAATATATTACTTCAGCTACATGATCACAGCTTAACAAATCCAGTGTTGCAGTCTCACAATTAATGCTGGCCATAGATGGGTCATTTTCTTCTTCATTCAGTCAGAAGGCTGAACGAAAAAATGAGCGGATTCCCCCATCCACATAAGTGAGGTGGATGGAGGAATCTCCCCCCGCTGATACATTGTATTTGACAGTGGATCTCCAAGTGTCTAAATACACTGACAAAATTTTCCATCCTCATTTAACATAATAATAATACATTTTATTGATAGTCTCCTTTCAGAACACCCAAGGTCACCTTACAAAGACAGCAAGAGAGCCACAAAAAAGTAAATAAATAAAATAAATATACATTCATTAAAAAACAAATTAAGTCAGACAGAGTATGCTAGTTTCAAAAGTTGAGATGTGATTTGAAGCTGGGTAGGTAGTCAATATTGCAGATGTCAGGTGGCAAGGTGTTCCAGGGTTGGAGTTCAGAGCAGCTAAAGGTCCTCAGTCCCATAGTGGTCAGGCTCAACAATCAACTTCTGTCAAACAGGGATGCCCAGGAATATCACAGTTCGGCCGGCCCCTGCTGAACCAGACGAATTTTGATCCACCAGCTTAAATCGGCACTTCACCTAAAAAGGGAAGCTCTGCTGAAGTAATATATCGCAAAAACAAATACAGGCGATACACATAAAACATACAGCAATTACAATTTAATGAATTGAATGAGCACACATTTTATATTCTGCATATCATTGATGCCACTCGTCTTTTTCTCTTCCTCCTCCCTCCTCTGACACTTTTAAACTTTTAGGTTTTCTTTTGCAGGGAGCGGGTTTTTAGTTTTGACAGGCATCCTCTTCCACTCGGATCACAATCCCATCCCCCCCAGTCCGCTACCTCCTGGGATGCACCACATGTCCCAGAAGGTTGCAGATCTATTTGTGAAGTGCAGCATGACTCACGCATGCGCAGTGGAGAGCCTGTTCTGAAGCCATGGTAAGTCACAGCTGGCTTCCCCCATCAAAGATAACTGTGCCATGAACCCAAAGACTGGCAAAGAACTGGCTCTGGTGAGGACAGCACAAGTCCACGTTTATTAAAAGTCAGCAACTACAGTATTTGTAGCTGCTAAATTTGTTTTAATTTTTTTTTTTTTCGAGACCTCCTTAAGATCCTCCTTAAGTTTATTGAGGAATGGCTCTTCATGGCCACTGATAACAAAACAAGTCAGTGGCTTTATTAGCCTATTAAGGGCTTGTTGCTTTTTAACCACTTCAAGTCCGGACACTCTCACCCCCTTCCTGTCCAGGCCAATTTTCAGCTTACAGCACTATCACACTTTGAAAGACAATTGCGCGGTCATGCAACACTGTACCCACATTAATTTTTTAGCATTTTTTTTGAGGCAGATAAAACTTTTATTTTGGTGGTATTTATTCACCACTGGGATTTTTGTTTTTGTTCTATATAAATGAAAAAGTCCACAAATTTAAAAAAAAAAGGGTTTTCTTATAAAATTTTGCAAATAAATAATCTTTGTTCATAAATATTGATGTATTCATCTATCTTTTTAGTAAAAAAAAAAAAACCCAAATTAGTTTATAACCAAAAATTATCATTTTAAAAAAAAAAAGTTTACATTTTTATTTTATTTTTTATATTACTATTTTTATTTATTTATTTTTTTTTTAACATACTGTCACCCTAGAAGTACAGTGTTACCATAGTACTTGTGGGGGGTGATGAAGATTTTTTTTTTTTCTTTTTTTACACTGATTGCTTTTAAACCCATAAAGGCTGTAAAAGAAATCATGTCTCCTTCTCTCTGGCTGCATTCTTGCAGCACATTGAGAATACTGTGCGAGCTGTGATTGGTCACAACTTGTCACATGGTACAAGGCTGTTGTGAATAGCCTTGTACCATGTGACCTCTGATCATTTACAGATTTCACATGTAGTAAGCAATAATGTCAAAAAGTGACATCTTGTTTACTACTATTCATGTGATCATTGATTGGCCAAACAGTGATCACTTGAATCAGGACCTCACACAGAGGTCCCGTACAGCAATCGGTGTTCTGGACACAGCGGGCACCGATCGCGGTGCTGCACGTTCCCAGGGACAGGCAATGGATATGGGTGGACGTTTAGAAACATCCACCTGCTTCGGCAGTGCTCCCGTCTGGCCGTTTATCTATATGGGCTGGTTGGGAAGTGGTTAAATACATTTAAAGTAGGTGCATGCTGATTGGCTGCTGTGGCCAAGTCATCCAATGTTGCTCTTCCTCCTGTGAACACAACTGAATGGGTATACTGTCCATAGAGAGACTGATCATTCTTCCTTCTGATTGGCATTCTATTACAGGAATGGAAGGAGCGCTATGCCACTAACAGGGAAGATTCCAGCCGTAACAGAAATGTCAACTCTGAACCGAAAGAGCCCACATACACAGAGATGACCACCAGCCGATGTGAGTAGAACTCTCATTAAAAACTGAAGTGGAACTATAGAATTACCAGTCTTCCTATGCCAATGAGATTGTTACATTGAAAGAATATAGGTGCAACGTGTATCTGAACCCAAGAATAAAAATGTTATAAATTGCAGCTTACCTGTCCTTAGATGTGTTGGCTGCATTTTTTTTTTTTTTTGTTCAGGCTTTTTTCCTTTTTATTTTCATGTGATGCTGCTACTAAAATACTTCCTGTCCTAGAATGAAAGCGCTCACTTATTTTACTGTATTGGTGGAGGGGGAGCACCCTAGGATTGGAAGTGTAGGGCTACAGAACAGCCCCCATATCCTGAGATACATGATATAGGGAGGGGGTGTTTTGCAGTCTACAAAGGGAACCTGTGCTGACTTTTATTAGCTCAAAATCAGGATCAACAGATATATTTTTCCATTTGTTTGTTTATTTATTTCAGGTACTTTTATAGCGCTGTCAATTTACGCAGCACTTTACATATATATTGTACATTCACATCAGTCCCTAACCCTCAAGGGGTGTACAATCTAAGGTCCCTAACTTACATTCATACATACACATACTAGGGGCCAATTTAGACAGGATCCAATTCACCTACCAGCATGTCTTTGGAGTGTGGGAGGAAACAGGAGTACCCAGAAGAAACCCATGCAGGCACAGGGAGAACATGCAAACTCCAGGCAGGTGGTGCCGTGGTTGGGATTCGAACCAGCGACCCTAGTACTGCCAGGCGGAAGTGCCAACCATTTAGCCATTGTGCTGCCCATTTAGTGAACAGATATTGTATAATAAAACTCATTCAATGGTATGTCTAGCAGACCAATAGGAAGCAAATATCTCTGTGTTTGTATACACTCCTTTTTGAGATGTTGCTAACCGTAATGATGTGTGATTACCATGCTGTCAGATATCATATTTGATCATCTGTTACTACAAAGTCCTCTGTAGTAGAATCCCTACCCTCAGAGTGGTTAGTAAATCCTGAACTGGTTTCTCACCATCGTCCCTGAACGTTTGAATCTGATTGGTGGCTATGGTCAAATAAAACGGACATGCTGATACATAAGGCTCTATGTAAAAGTTTACCCCTCATTTAGGACTACATCCCCTGGGATGGGGGATAGGGGGAATGACCTAGGAGGTAAGACACCTAACTTTCTGGTCTACTTTTCCTTTCCTACCTTTTTAAAATTCTCTCATTTTGTATGCTTGGGAATCTCAGAACTGAGTGCAGAGTCTACCTGCACCCCCAGGGGTAGCCATTGGGTGTTTGCATCAGTGGCTCCTGCTCCCATGTTGTGTCAGACCATTAGAAGTTGTGATTACTGTTAGGAATTACCCTGCTAGCTGTCTTGATAAATAATCAGTCATCTGGTTTCAGTATTACGTTTTTCTGCTTATACTGTGCCTTTCAATAATTTTATCCAATAATGTCCTTTTGACTTTTTTTTTTCTTCCAGCTTCAAAATACACAAGACAGAATAACCGAACAGAGAGGGATCGAATTGAACTCCTGCAGGATGCAGAACCCCTGGATTTTAATGCAGACAATTTTACAGATGACCCACTGGACTCTGAGTCTGGAAGGTAAGTTATCAGAAGTTCTGTTTGCTCAGACTGGACTACAGATGGAAATTCTAATTCAATTCTGGATATCCTGCAGCCCTGTATTGACAGGCTGAGACTAGAAGCCAATAAGGCAGACAAGGTGATATGACAATCGGGAGGTGTGACATCACTTGCAAAGTATTTTATTTTAAGAGAGAATTAAAATTGCAATATCACATTGGAAAAGGTTAGTTGCATATTAAAAATGGAAAATTTCTGTCTGGTCCTATCACTTTCTGCGCAGTGCATTCTGAAAACTGTAATGGTATAAAATATTTTGACACCATTACAGATATTATAAATAAGCCATACATAGTATGCATAGACACATAATAAGAGAGTATGTAAACTGACTTCTTTGTTATGATTTTTACGACGCTGCATTACTTAAACTGACAATTGCACGGTCATGCAACGCTGAACCCAAATGAAATTTATGTCCTTTTTTTCCCACAAATAGAGCTTTTTTTCGGTGGTATTTTATTGCCTGTGCGGTGTTTAAAATTTTTTGCGCTATAAACAAAAAAATGTTTAAAAAATCAAATTTCGTTATAAATTTAGGCCAAAATGTATTCTGCTACATGTCTTTGCTAAAAAAAAAAATCCCATTACATGTAAATTAATTGGTTTACATGAAAGTTATAGTGTCTACAAATGGCAGTGTATATATACTGGAATATTTTTTTTCTTTTTAAATAGTAATGACAGCGATCAGCGGTGGGCAGGCATTCTGACACTGGGGGGAACTCACTGACTTTCCCCAGTGACACTAATACAGTGATCAGTACCAGAAAAAGCACTGACACTGTACTAATGACACTGGACAGGAAGGGGTTAACATCTGGGGTGATCAAAGGGTTAACTCTGCGCTGTGTGTGTGTTTTGGTATGCAGCGCAATACAAAGCAATGTGCAGGAGCTGATAGGGGAGAGATCTGTATTGTTTACTTACAGGCCTCTGCCCCGTCAGTGATACTCGGCAATCGCTGGGTGCCGGCGGAGAATCACCGGCCAGGACCCAGTGAGCGACAACTGAGACAGAGAGGCATACTCACGTGTGTGTGTGTGTATATATATATATATATAGTTATTATTATTATACAGGATTTATATAGCGCCAACAGTTTGCTCAGTGCTTTATAATATAATATAATATATATATATATATATACACACGTGAATTTGCGCAGCCCTGTAGCAGTATTTCTGCTATAGGGCGGCGGGACAGCGGTTAATCTTTTAAAACAGTTCAGGTCCTGCATATGTTCTGATCAGCTGCTCATGTGATGTGATGATCTCTAGAGAGCAGATTACAAACAAAAACTGAAGTTGATTTTTCTCAGCCATCAGTTAGACTCAAAGCTGTCTTTAAGGGCTCGTTCACACTTGACTGTTTTACCAACGCTTGCCAAATGCCCCTATAGCATTTGGCAAGCGTTGGTCTGGCGTTTGCGGAGCGTTTTTTAATGCTCGGCAAACGCCGCATGCGTGGTTTAGCGGCGGTTGCTAGGCGTTTGCCGAGTGTTAAAAACGCCCCACAAACGCCTATAATGAAGTTTAAATGGTGTTACCGCTCCGCAAACGCCCCACAACCGCGTCGGTGCTATGGTGCCACTCCGCAAACGCCGGACGGGCGTTTGCGGAGTGGCACCATAGACTAGAATAGGAGGCTTCAATGCCTCCTGACTCGACCAGAGGAGTCCGTTTTGCCGCGACGCGACGGTAACGCTCCCGTTAGAACAGCACCATGTGCTGCAATGTGCAGAATTGTCCGAGGCGTTTGGGAAGTGGTAAAAACGCTTCCCAAATGCCTCTCTGCCACCTGCACACAACGCTAGTGTGAACGTAGCCTTAAGGTGTGAAATGGGTGGCTCTGGTGAACCAACTACAATGAACAGACATCAGGCCTTGTGTATCTTAGAGTATACCTATCATGAGAGAATGAATGTTTCTGAACCTGCTAGTCGCCTGACGGTTAAGCCAAGCCACTGACTGTTTGTTAAAGTGATCTTGTCACTTCTTTAAAGTAAGGCCTCATTGACATGGGGCGATTACATCCGTGCACAGTGCAGGGCTGTGTTTACCGGCAGGGAGATGCACAGGTGTTCCATGCATCCCTATACCAGCAGTCCCATATGACTAGAAAAAGGAGTATAACGAGCGCTGGACAGTTTTAGAGCGAAATATAAAAGCAGCTGGCATGAAAGGCAAGCCTCCAAAACGCCTCGTGGTGGACAATCATATACCAAAACATGCAGCGCTAGAGTGAATGGATCTATCTCATGATACGGAGTGACCACTTAATGAGATATAAACGCAGCTACCATAATAGTCTTAAGCAACCAATATTATAACATTCTCATAGTTAAGAAGGTGTAAATGGTGATAAAGGTGTCAAAGTCAATCTATCATAGGAGTGACGTAAATCTGTGACATCTCTGGTAGGAAATGTGGCTGTAGAATGCACTAACCAGATAGCGCAAATAAAAGCGCATTGGAGTAAAATGACCTACTCCTGGTCACGGGATCAGGGGACCTGCCGGAATGGTGGTCGTCTCTACTGTGGTCACCAGAGTCATCCGTGTCCTCTCCAGTTATGGAATTCCCAGGTATCCAGTGGAATAAACGCTCATCCGGTATGCAGTAGAATCCTTGTGTCAGCGACCTCCAGGGGTGCGCGATGTCCGCTCAAGGACCAGGAATCACCTTCAGGGCTCAGAAATAAACCCAAAAAGAGGCTTCCGATAGTGTGATAACTTTTATTATGGAGTAGTAGACAAAAAAACGAACTTACATGGTGCAATATACACTTCCAAAGATGGCTGCCCGTGTCAAGGTGTGGACCATGTGGGTAGTGGTTGTGGGTCAAGTAGCATCTCCCTAACGCGTTTCGTGGCAACTGCACCTTCTTAACTATGAGAATGTTATAATATTGGTTGCTTAAGACTATTATGGTAGCTGCGTTTATATCTCATTAAGTGGTCACTCCGTATCATGAGATAGATCCATTCACTCTAGCGCTGCATGTTTTTGTATATGATAGTCCCATATGACTGCTGCTGCTCCCAATATGACATCTGTGCCGGTGTTGGTCCTGAATGCACCTACGGCTTCAAAGCAGTTGCACCCTATAATAGAAAAGGCTGAATATACTTGTCTCTCTGGAGGGCAGAGAGTGAAATCTTCATTCTCCTGCAGATCTAGCAGCACCACAGTTTTACACCATTTGGATAGTGCCCCCCTTGGGCACTATGGTTTCTCCCACTGGCCGTTGTGTAACCACAGGACTTGTTGGCAAGTAGGAGAAACAACAGCGCCCAGATGGGCACCATCTAAATCGAACACATTTGGCAGAGTGGTAGCTATTCATCCTCTACTATTACAGGGTGCAGCTTCCTGGATTATTTTCAGAGGTTGACAGAGTCTTTGTAAATACAAATCAAGAAAATAAACAATAATTGAAACTACAAATAGAAAATACTTACTAAAGCTGAATTCCAAGTATAGTCATTTTTACATAGTTCCGTTGATCCAGCTTGGACCAATGTGAGCATATATGTGCCATACATGTGGGATCCCCTGGAAGCTGGAAGTCACTGGAGTAGATACCGCTACTACAGTAATCTCCACTAGCTTCTGGGACCCGTGCCAAGGGGCTATGACACACATAGTGAAGGAAATAAGCATTTGATCCCCTGCTGATTTTGAATGTTTGCCCACTCACAAAGAAATGATCAGTCTAAAAATCGAATGGTAGGTGTGTTGTAACACAGAGACAGAATAGCAACAAAAAATTCAAAAGAAAAATGCATATCTAACAAATGATGCACTGATTTGCATGTTCATGAGGGAAATAGGTATGTGATCCCCTTCACAAAACATGACTTAGTAGTTGGTGGCAAATCCCTTGTTGGCAATCACAGAGGTCAGACGTTTCCTGTAGTTGGCCACCAGGTTTGCACACATCTCAGGAGGGATTTTGGCCCACTCCTCTTGGCAGATCCTCTCCAAGTCTTTAAGGTTTGGTGGCTGACGTTTGGCAACTTGAACTTTCAGCTCCCTCCACAGATTTTCAATCATATTAAGGTCTGGAAACTGGCTAGGCCACTCCAGGACCTTAATGTGCTTCTTCTTGAGCCTCTCCTTTGTTGTCTTGGCCATGTGTTTTGGGTCATTGTCATGCTGGAACACCCATCCACCACCCATTTTCAATGAGTAGGTTCTCACCCAAGATTTGACGGTACATTGCCCCGTCCATCGCCCCCTTGATGTGGTGCAGTTGTCCTGTCCCCTTAGCAGAAAAACACCCCCAAAGCAGAATGTTTCCACCACCATGTTTGACAATTGGGATGGTGTTCTTGGGGTCATAGACAGCATTCCTCCTCCTCCTCCAAACACGGCGAGTTGAGTGGATGCCAAACAGCTCGATTTTGGTCTCATCTGACCACAACACTTTCAACCAGTCCTCCTCTACATTATTCAGATGTTCAGTGGCAAACTTCAGACGGGTCTGGATATGTGCTTTCTTGAGCAGAGGGACCTTGCGGGCACTGCAGGATTTCAATCCTGGTCAGCGTAGTGTGTTACCAATTGTTTTCTTGGTGACTGTGGTCCCAGCTGCCTGGAGATCATTGACAAGGTCCTTATGTGTAGTTCTGGGATGATTCCTCACTGTTCTTATGATCATTGACACTCCACGAGGTGAGATATTTCATGGTGCACCAGACCTAAGGAGACTGACAGCTGTTTTGTGTTTCTTCCATTTGCGAATGATTGCACCAACTGTTGTCACCTTCTCACCAAGCTGCTTGGCAATAGTTTGGTAGCCCAGTCCATCCTTATGTAGGTCTACAATCTTGTCCCTGACATCCTTGGACAGCTCTTTGGTCTTTGCCATGGTGGAGAGTTTGGAATCTGATTGTTTGATTGCTCCTGTGGGCAGGTGTCTTTTATACAGGTAGCAAAATGAGATTAGCAGCACTCCCTTTAAGAGGCTGCTTCTAATCTCAGCTTGTTACCTGTATGAAAGACACCTGGTAGCCAGAAATCCTGCTGAATGATAGGGGATCAAATACGTATTTCCCTCATGAACATGCAAATCAGTGCATCATTTGTTAGACATGCATTTCTTTTGAAGTTTTTGTTGCTATTCTGTCTCTCAGTGTTACAATACACCTACCATTCGTTTTTTAGACTGATCATTTCTTTTTGAGTGGGCAAACATTCAAAATCAGCAGGGGATCAAATACGCATTTCCTTCACTGTACACTACATAACTTACATTGGTCCAAGGTGGACAGATAAAACGATGTGGAAATTGTCATTCCTGGAATTCAGCTTCAAGTACAAATCAGAAAAGTGTAGGCAAAGTGAGAACTTCTTGGCTGTGTGAGTCAGAGAGCCTACAGTGTCCCGCAGACTGTTCTCCGCATAATACTGCATAGAACACTCCCCTGTATGATTAGAGCCATCACATGACTTTGAATCTGTCCTCCCATATGTTTAATCCATAAAATGAAGATCCTGGTGTAGAGCCAATGGAGTCCTATGACTAGAGCGGTCACATGAGTTTTTCCTCTCTCCAGCATCCCCCCACCTCCCATTCATTAACATGAATGGATCTTTGCTTTTTTTCAGAGTTATGAACAATTGCATATTAAAAAGATCAGCAGTAAACTTTACGAATGTGCTGGATGATGGGAGCAACGAGCCATGACCATGGTTAGGTCATACTGCTGGTTTTTAAATTTGCACCATAGTGAGTTTTTTTTCTTCAATATTTGACTTACACAATTTAATTTGCTGTCATCATTTTGTGCTTCACAGATATCAGCCAGCTGGACGCTACTTATCAATGTCTAAATCAAACAGCAGAATATTTGATGACGTATAATCCTGAGCTGGAATGAAAGACCACGCAAGCAAATGCTTGTCGCCCTGCGAACGTCTTCATCTGAGCACAGTCATCCAGATGTGTGTCGTGGTATTAAACACTGGAGAGGCATTTGCGATATTGTATTCATATGTATTTATTATTGACTAAGAACTGTAACATTGTATATAAAGAGGCATGCACACTTATGACCTGATCTCCAAGGGGAAGAAAAACTTCAGACACAATCTAATGACGTGATCTCATTCTAGGACTATTCTAGATCAGGATGGCAGTTGGTTATCATAGTGGCTCTGATGCCGGAACCTACACCGAACTGCCATACTTGATGGAGAGCTGTGGCTGTGACAGTGTAGAGCTCCTGTTGTTTGTCCTCCCTTTCTTCTCCCTCATCCACTCACAGAAAGCCTCGTGTTCTTTGCACGGAATGCAAAGCGTTCTGTGAATGAACGAGTGGAAAGGAGGGGTGAATGAACGGCAGGATCTTACTCTGCCAATTCAGAGAACCCCTTGCATTCCATGTATCGAACACAATGCTTCATGAGAATGGACAAAGGGGGAGGAAAGGGAGGACAAATGACAGGAGCCCTTCACTGTTACAGCTACAACTCTTCATCAAGTCGTAGCACTGTGTGAAGGATCTGGCATTAGAGCTACTGTGATTTTTACAGGACCAGCAACCATCCGGACCTAGGATAGTCTTCATTATAGGTCACTTCTGTAACTTGTGGTGTTTACAAAAAAAAAAATTCTTGGAGTTCACCTTTATTATATAGTTTAGCTTGTTTGCACAACATAAGCAGACAAACAACTGTGACATTGTACAAAATCAGAATGATTTTTGATCATTTTAGCTGTCCATGCACAAAATGGGTACTGCTGCTTTATTTCCTCTGTTGTCCTCAGTACTATAGTGGAGCTCCAGACAGGACTTAGGAAAGCGTGGTGGAGGGGTTCAATCCTCTTCATGTATTTCTATGTATTCTCTTAGAGAGCATTATTTATCTCTAAAATGGTGAGAAAACTGACCTTGGAATGATTCCACAAAAACTACAACCCTTGCTTAGAGGTGGAACAATCATACACATATGGAACCATTTAAAAAAGTTAGGACCTGTGTCTGGCCACTCCTTCCCAGTACATGACATGTCTGATGGGGAATGATAGGAAAGCTATGCTCCTGGGAATCATTGGGAGACTTTCCTGTATCATGAGGATACAGAGGTGGGACGGTCACATAGCATGACTCCCATCAACTATCAGTGAAGTAGAAGCTGGGTGGGCATGACCTCTAATTATTGTGAGCGCTTGGTATTGGAGATCTTTACATTTGCATATCAAATCTACATATGAGCAGCCTCAGACCCATATGGAAAAAATATATATTTGGAATATATTTTAAAAAATATTCTTCCCAAATATATTGCCATATATTTGAAATGTTACAATTTTGGCCATATTCAATATATATCATATATATTCATATATATTCATATATATATACTACATGTTGACATGCGGTTTTATTACAAAATATATGAAAAATATTTTTCAAAAATATATTTCAAATATACTGTTTGTCTTTAAAAATACCAATCTACATTTTTGGAATGCATTTATAAATATATGTAAAAATATGTTAAAATGACTTTTTTATATGTTAAAAAAAATCTGAAGAATATATTTAAAAATATATATATTTTTAAGAATCTATATTTTTTAAATATTTTCTTCAATTTTTTTAACATATAAAAAGTAATTTGAACATATATTTTTACATATATTTGTAAATGCTTTCCAAAAATGTAGATTTCTATTTTTAAAGGCATTCAGTATAATATATATATATTTTGAAATATATTGAATATGGATATTTGCATATCAAATCTACATATGAGCAGCCTCAGACCCATATGGAAGAAAAATATATTTGGAATATATTTTTAAAAATATTCTTCCCAAATATATTGCCATATATTTGAAATGTTACAATTTTGGCCATATTCAATATATTTCATTTATATTCATATATATATATATACTGCATGTTGACATGCGGTTTTATTACAAAATATATGAAAAATATTTTTAAAAATATATTTCAAATATACTGTATGTCTTTAAAAATACCAATCTACATTTTTGGAATGTATTTCTAAATATATGTAAAAATATATGTTAAAATGACTTTTTTATATGTTAAAAAAAATCTGAAGAATATATTTAAAAAATATATATATTTTTAAGAATCTATGTTTTTTAAATATATTCTTTGATTTTTTTAACATATAAAAAGTAATTTGAACATATATTTTTACATATATTTGTAAATGCTTTCCAAAAATGTAGATTTTTATTTTTAAAGGCATTCAGTATAATATATATATTTTGAAATATATTGAATATGGCCAAAATTGTAGCATTTCAAATATATTATGGCAATCTATTTGGGAAGAGTATTTTAAAAATATATTTCAAATATATTTTTCTTCCATGTGGGGATACTGATTGAAATTTATTAATTGATTGTATTTCTAGTTCCGGCATGTCCTGGAATCAGAAACTATGTTTTTTTTTTTTTTTTTGTGTTTTTTTTTTTTGAGGGGGCTGGAGTTCTTCTTTAAAGGGCAGCTACACACAAGCAGCCTTATAGGCTTAAACCGTATTCAGCTTGTCATATCACTGGAATCTGGACATTTTCCTGAAACATGATGCGACATTACAGGCTGCATTCTGTGATATCACTCGCTGTTGGTTCACACCGTGAAGATTACCATAAACATAGGATGGTGGGCAGAAGAGCCAGCTATTCATAGGTTCACCTTAAAGTATCTGTCACTGTAAAACAACGCATTCAGTTTGAAATACAAAACAAAGGCAAAACATTTGTATATAGATATAAAAAATATTACAACCCCCCCCCCCCCCCCCCTTTTTTTATATGTGATTATTGCATTCTCTCGGTTCCCAGCTGCATAAGAGCCAGGGGAGGAGAAACAGCAGGACACTGAACTTCACCATGAAAAGTTGTGCAGGGGAGGTGTGTCAGGACAAGTCAGATCATTGGAGGAGAGTTCCCAGCACAGCTAGAGAAATGACCATGGTGTGCTCCCTCGCTTAGTGTGGTCAGTTTTTAATAAAAACGCAGGGGGGACTGGAAGGAAGACCTGAGATTTCACCCAAAGGAAGCCATACAAAGAGAACAGGATACTTTTTCATACGTGGTACAGCAGGCACATATCGGGAATATGAAATGTTGGGTTTGCATGCTCTTCAAGTAACATAAGTAACATCCATTGTGGTCTCTGTAGATGCTTCTTAGCCGATCTAACTTGGGGTTCGAGCCAGGCATCTGATAGCTCCAGAGAAGAACACAGCGCTGTGGTAGATGTAGTATTGTAAATATAGAATCTACAAGCCAGGCATCTGGCACTGCTTTTTGAGACGGTCACTATTGTTCCAATGCATGTGTAATGCAAACCCACCTGCAAATTGTCATTAAACTTCACGGCTCATTCAGACCAGAGGTGGTTCCATGCAGTGTCCTGTGGTGTTGAACCCTAGGCACTCAGCGTGTTACTATAGAAATCAATTCCTGCTAGCAGGGCTTGTTCTCAGCAGAGCAATGTGCTGTCGAATGTTTTTGAAATGGCCCAGCTTGCTCTGCTTTTTGCTGACCTGCAGCGCGCCATGCAAACCAGTTGAATGGAGACATAGCGTCACAATGCGCAATCCAGGAGCGTTTTACTGCACACACCAATGCATGCTTTGTTCATCTCAGCTGACGTCATTGAGCCTCAGACCATTTCTGCCAACATGATTTCTTCAGTAAAATCACGGCAGTAGAAGGGGCACTGGAGCTGGCCGTCACTCATTGTGTGGCCTTCTCCCGGATCCCATGTTTCTCCAGTCACTATTCATGATCCATATTTGGAACAACTGTGAGAGTTTTTTAGGGTCTGGTCAAGCTGGGCGAGCTAGTTGGGGAACACTTCTCCAGACAAGGGGACGTGGGGGCTGTTGGCTTTCTGGTGAAAGCAGTAATGGCATATTACTTTCCGGCTGTGCTTTACCGAGCTGCATAACTTCTTAATGCTTTTTAGACAGCAGCTGGACAGCAATTTATTCTCAGCTATTATCAGCAGTCTATTTGTGTTCATGACGCACATGCTGTACTATGACACAAAGCATCCTATTGTGCATTGCATTGGCAGAACATGTTGGTATCTGAGGTGTATGTATGTGTATATATATATATATGTGTATATATATATATAATATATGTGTGTGTGTGTATATATATATATATATATATATGTGTGTTATATAATATATATATATATATATATATATATATATATATATATATTATATATATATATGCAGAGGGCAGTCATTTGCCCAGCCTTGTAGTGAAAATTTAGCACCATGCATATTTTTTCCTAGTTATATATTGTGCCTACTATGTGTATACATCATATTTCACCAAGGGCATTTTCTATGTTATGGTGTATTTAAAAAAAAAAAAAATGAAGTAGAACAGGAATGAAGGTTTTATTTTATTTTTCCTCTCAGTTGAGGTTTATTGTAATTTATCTGAAGTGGACTATACTGTTCACATTGATGCACTATAATTTTAGTGTTGTTGCATTTCAAATTGTCACAGGAACAGGGGAGTCCCTAGGGTTGGTGTCACCTGGTGCGGTAACACTTGGTGACACCCCCTCCGAAGAATGGATCGGATCTGCAGATTGAGCATAATGCATCGGAGTCCGATCCATTATGCTCCCCAATCTGCAGATCCAATTCATCCTGCGGGGATCATTGGCATGCAACCTATACAGGGTGACACCGGATCCGCTCCACGAAAAGGTAAGTTGTAAAGAAAGCCGACGATCCCTGCAGGATGGATCGGATCCATCCTGCAGGGATCGGCAGCTTTCTTTACAATTTACTTTTTCGTGGAGCGGGTCCGGTGTCACCACGTGCGGTAGGTGTCA